AGTCGCTCGTTAGAAAACTAGAATATTTTTCCGTTCTATCTGATCTTCATTGTGAAACAGAGAAGAACATGGTACGCTGCTGTGTCGAAATGTATTAAAATTTTCGAAACAAGAGGACCGATTCGTTGAACTGTAAACGGGAGGGGTAACGCGGCGTGTGTACTTTGAAAAGATCTAGTCGGCCGAGCGATAATTCGGCGGAGAATCGGAGTCGCCGTAATTCAATACGTAGTATACTTAATGGAAATATCAAATTACGGCCACACCTTAATTCGATCGGATGGGCGAAAGGACGCGAATAAATGGCCCGAATTTGTCAAGACACCCGTTTCCGCGGCTCAGGCGATTAGTCGTTCCTCAAACTTTTTGCCGAGACATTTTGCGAAACAAATTCTCCGAAGCATATTAATGCGCCCTCGAGTGAACCTTCGCAGAACAATTTATCTTGCTCGATCATTTATTTATTTCATACATCGTTTTAAAATCAGCTGCTTCATTAATATTACAGCAGCTGGCACCTGTTATTTCCTAAAAACACTTTCGAACTTTCGTTCTTTCGGATTGACTCTTCACACATTAAAAATTTTAGCTTTCCGATTTTAGTCATCGTCTCTTGCTCTCTTCGATCGATCGTATCGTTCGATCAATAACAATTTTTTGCCGAATTTGTCACCGCTGTGTCTCGTTGAATAACGAAATTCATTAGCATCACAATCGTCGACTCCTAAAATATTGCACGCAAACCTTGAACATGTAGTATCAATCATATTTCGATTATTTTCGTCTAACCTGGCTTGGTAAAAAAAAATCTACATTTAAATATGTACTCCGTGTCGTTTGATTGTTATCAGTTTTACAGCGATCGTTTTATCGCGTTTCAATCGGGAACCATTTGAAAGACGAATAAATGTTACCCGCGTAGCAAATCGAGTGAAGAATCGCTAAGCGTGCCACCTGCGTGATTGATAAAAGAAAGTATTTGGTATTGTGAGACAAAAAAATTACAAATTGCCGCTATTAATTACGTAATTTTCTTTTGGTTCTTGAAAACTGTCCTTTGTTTTCTAGAAATTTCAGGCCACGCGAGAAATAATAGAATGCTAATGCTGTGCGGTTTCAATGGCTTCGCCTGCTTATCGTTGTCCACGTTAATTGATTATCGCGGTTGAAACGTAGCGCACTGTAAAATTAGCCCGCCAAATAAGTAGCGTGCGTTTCCTCTTCGTCGTTCATTCATCAAGAAAACCTTTCAAGGTGTTTTGGATAAAAGCAATAACTCTCGCGTGATATAAAATTATATAATATATAATTTCAAACGCGTAAGTGATTGTTTACTCATTACATCGTACGTTAAGACCACGCGAGATCTCCCGATTTTCGAACAATTAATTTTTAATATAGAAAAGTAATGAAAAGGTATAAAATGTCGTATAATTGATGTATCGTTTATACGCTTATTGATTTTTTATTCTTTGGAACGTTGGTCGAATAAACGTGAAAAGTTGTGTAATAGCCATTATTGGAGCAATGTGAATTAAAAGCGTGCACAGTTGGGGCCCGACTTTCGAGTAAACATTTTTTTGTATAGCATTTCTTTGTATGGGAGCCAACGCTATTCAGTATCAACATTATGCCACATGGACCGTTATCAACTTCTACGTTTCCTGAGACGTTCTATATCCGGCCGCTGGGTGGGTAACAGAGGGAAAGGGATTGATATCAAAGACTGCTTTGTTACACTGACATCACACACGCGCGCGCGACACTTTGTTGCAACGATGCACACACGTACAACACTCTGTAAAGTACCAACTGTTCACTCCTCCCCTCCCGGGACATAACTTCGGTGCTACATTAACGTTGTAGAATTTTTTCAACTTTTATCAAGAGGGTAATTGTTGCTGGTTTGTGTCTATAAAATTGCAAAAAGCTATAAAATAACATATTTTCCGCAATATTCAAAATATTGCCGCGTTACTTTTACAAGCTTTTGATTCCTATCTAGTTTCAACTACAGATACAACTTTTCGAATAAATTTCGTAAATCGGATTTTTATATGTTCGATGATAACAACGGTCGTCAAACCTTTCTAATCGATGGGAAATTTCTCTCGGCGTTACCAAGACTACGAAAGATTGTTGATTCGGTCGGTTACGAAACCCAGGCAAGTCCACTTTGTGGGGATCGACGAACCCTTCATGTGGGAGATATGGAGTTGCCCCGGTCATCTGCTACATTGTGGCACTCCCGTTGGGACGCCTGAGACCCTACCAATCGTTTCTACATTTCCTCATTAAGTTGCTAGAGCTGTGAGTGTGTTCCAAAGATTAGTTCACGGCTATTTATAAGGCGGCTCTTGTGAAATAACGAATATCCGAAATCGTATCTCACAACACACTGACAAGATTGATAAACATGTATAAAAAGAGCTTTTAATTTTTTTAATTATTATTCTTAATGCTAGCTTTTGCACGAAGTTGCATCGTGTCGTTTGTTGCACTTGAACGGCAAACGCTAAATCTAGCGAGATCGCGTTTTTCACGAAAGATCAGTTGGGCAAAATAATTATTTGCTGTTGAAAATATTCCGAATAGTTAGTATATCGAGTTACACACAACGTTTATTCGAGACAGCACGTTGAGGTGGTACAATTGACGATCAACTTCCTGTCCCGCACTTCTACAGTGTTTATCGTCCCTTCGTTTGGAATTTAAAACATCGGTGAGGGCTACATTAATATTAAAGTAATGCCACCATGCATAGGAATCTCGAAGGCAACGCTGGTGTTGGTGATCATTCTCGGAAAAGTCCCTTCGTAGGGATTGCCTCGAGTTGCTCGGGCTAGTTTCTACATTGTATGCTTAGGAGTGCCCAACCGAGTCCCAGCGACTACCATACTTTCAGATATAATGAAGGTGCACAAGTGGGGAGCATTCTGTACTTCGGCCGTTACGTTTTGAAATCGTGTTGGCTCGAAAATTTATTGGACTTATTTTTTCCGAAGCACTCTTAATTAATCAACAATAACAAAATCGCCCCAGCAATTGCTGCAATTTCTCTCCTCCTTTCCTCTCTCGTTACCGTATGATCGCATGGCACACATGCACACTGCACTGATCAATATTTCGTCTTCTCGATCGGTTCGTCACTGCGACGTGAATGCGCGCGAGAGAATAATGTTAAGATTTGTCGGAATTATACCGCATCTCACTCGGAAGACATGGGGACCGTCACGTTCCCTTTGTAGCGACGAGCATTTCTCGGAGCATTCATGCGCGCCCCTCGGCTTCTACATTGTTGCGCTCTCGGTGCCTGCTTTAACTCTGCCGCCAACGCTCGCCTGTTTGTATAACTATTTCGCTACCGAAACAAGGCGGGAACGCAGAATATACCTCTTTTATCGTCAATAGATTTGTTTCGTGCTATTCTGTATATACCGCAAGTTTATGCATTATTTACTCTTATTCTTCATTATAAATCAAGTTCGGACCAAATTAATGTTGTAACGATAACGCTGTAAATATTGGCCGACTTTGCCATGGTGTTGTAAAAATAGTATTACAAGAACGCGTGTTTTCATCAGCAGTGGATCGTCTCGATTTCATCCTCGCCTCTGTATTCATAAATATTTTTCTCATTATTATATACATATATATATATATATATATATATTGAGTCTTTTATATTATTTTTTTTATTATCTACTCGTTGTTTATTACCTATCATCTTCTCTCGTGAAAATTATTAGAGAAATCGTCGAAAAATACTTTTGACATTAGCGGACCGGCAAGAGTGAGAAACGCACGCTCGCATTTCTCTCGTAGTCTGCCTACGTGCAAAACTCCAAGTATGAAAGATACGCGATAGTTCTGCTTATCAAAGGTTCTGAGAAAAACGGTTGTATCGACTGCCACTGTATGGAACGTACTTTGTATGTTCTTTTTTATGCGTGCTGTCATGCGTATTTACGCATTGGCAGCAATAACAATAACTGTAAAATTAACGATAATAATAAGTCTAATTACAAATATCCTTCGCTCAACGCTGATATGTGTCACATTCTTATTATTTGAAATCTCTATAGCGCAAATATATATGAGAAATCTTCCCAAATATTTTTCGAATATAACGATGTTATTTTGAAGAACATCTTCCTTGATCCGTCACATATGTCGTCCACAGATCGTGGGATATAATTTTCCTCCCTTTCGAAACTTGTTGCATTCCAATCCTTACGTCTTATTTAAAAGTCACATTTCCGGAGGATGTCCATACGATATAACTCGAGCCTCGTAATCCGTGTGTTAGGACATGGTTCGTCGCACCTTTCACTCTGCGTTAACGCGATAAGTCATCCGCTAGCGAGCCGGTGCACACACCGATTCGTATAATCCTGTTAATTATCACGATTTACAGATAAGAAGTGTCGCTTCTCGTCGCTTGCCATCGACAAAAACCACGCTGAGCGGATTACAACTTTTCTATAGTCTAAGATTGCTCGGTTAATTGAAAGTTTCTACATGTAGTCGGAGATTATGGATCTTTCAAGCTCGAAATAAGTTTTTCCTCCGATCATTTCAGCGAACCGACGCGCAGGATAATTCGCAACGTGAATTCAAATGTTGTCGATCGTAGTCGACTCCTACCTTATCGACCGTGGATTCACGAGCCTGTACGTTCAGTAGATAATATTGCAGAAATGTCGACAATTTTACCGACTTTCCTTTTACCTACGATTAAAACAAATTGCCCATATGTGAATTATCATGCTCATTTATTTATTAAGTAAGGAACCACGCTCTCGAGACAACTTTCCGCAACATTGTGAACCATGTAAGAATTCGACATATTTTTTCGAACAAGCGTTTAAAATGTTTATTAGAAAATTACTTATGCAAAATGAAGGGAGAAATGAAGCTGCGAAAGGAATGATTTTCTCGTGCATTAACATTCTTGACGCAAGGTGTTTAATTATCATTTCTTCTTCTGAATTTTTCAGGCTAGTCGTACGCTCGCGCATGGTGAATACCTGCTGCCGTGTCCGAAATGCTCGTTTCCTTCCCATGTGGATAACAAGAAGAACGTGGGAACCTGCACGAGGCAAGGCTGCTCCATCGAATTCTGCACTTCCTGCTCGTCGAAACCGCACATAGGGCCGTGCATTACGCCCCAGCTAGGCACACCGACGAAACGCAACAAACGTCTGATCGTCGGCTCGAGGCAGAGCAAGCGGAATTTGCGGAGGTTGTAAAGATTCCGCGACTCTACGTGGTCCGCGCATCGATCCGTCGTGGGACAGAAGAACTAGTCTAGCTACAGAGTCGAGGAAGATGTAAATTATAGAATAGACGCAGAGATGTATGTATAGTAAATCGTAAATGAGAATCAAAAGTCGCGAGCCGCGAAATATAATCAAATGTAATTTAATAATTAATTAGGTAATATTAGTGGAGTGGATTCGGTTGTGCCAAGGTTGTCGATACTACGTGCATCTTTCGTGCCTTCAAGTGCCTTAACGAGCGGCGTATATTACTACTTACAGAGTGGCGTAAACATGTTAGTCGCATAGTTAGTAGCCGTAAATTCTGATCAGCAGCGGTAAATGGATTTTTCGACGTCGTAAAATCAGCGAACGCCCTAATCTGCTCCAATCCATCGACACTCGGGCTAATGTATTCAAGTATCACTTAAATCTCCTTGAGCGACGGCGACGGTGCAACCGAATGTTCGGATCCTCTTAACGATGAGAGGGAGAGAACGAGAGACAAATCAAAGGTAAAAGTGTACCTGCAAAGAACACAGGGGGAAGGAGAAGAAGGAGGAGAAAGAAATGAGAAACCATAAAGGCAGGCAGGCAGGCGCAGCGGTCGTAAAACCCGCTAAGGGAACGGCGAAACACTTTGCGCGCCGCCCGGATATTCCGCTTTTTACCGAGCGCGCTCGACTCCTTAATGAAGCTGGAGAGAGAGATGGTTCCGTTGCCGCTCGCTCGCTCTCGCGGGAATCGCCTCGTAAAACATTAACTGCTGAATAGAACGATCGTCAGGACGATCAGGGTGCGCGCGAACCAAACAATTCTCATTCGCGCACCAAGAATCTTTGCAAACCCTTAACGACCTTAACGAAGTATTTAACTCCGTATTTGCGCGCGTCCGTAGTTTCATTCGATTAGAATCGCTCCAGAAGTATTATCAAATGTACGTAGCGCTAAAAGCGATTAAGGGAGACGAAACGACAGAAGTAAGAATGTAAGAACGACGTCGCAAAAATGGAAGGCAGAGACGGTAACAATCGGCAAAGGAGGGAATGTCGTCGCGCCATTGTCGGATATTAAACTCGTTCGACGAAAAAGTTGTCATCTTCGCGCGGCATTACTCGACGTCGGAAGCCGGTACAAGGGATTTCACGTTTGTGCCATGAGATTAGTTCGCGTCATAACGCGTTTGCCATACTATACTTAAAAAAAAACAAGTTGACATTGTTACAGGGAGGAAGAAGGGCCGAGTATATTTCTTCGGCGTCTTTCGTTTCCGTGCTAAACCTTCGAGATGCCATATTTTGTCTGAGTTTTGTTTGTGTATTTTTTAATCCGTGTCTCTCTCTAAGCGTTCGTGCTCGAAGGAAACACTCGTTTGTCTCGTTGTTTGTAATGTCTCTTCTTTACCGTTGTATGCGTGCGAGAAAGCGAGAAGAAAGACTGCATGTAAATAATCGAGCGTGATAATAATATATATATATACATATTTTTTTGTTCTGCGTTTTTTCGGTGTTGCAAAATTTCGCGATTCAGTGTCTTACAATACGCTACGTTTTAACGTTTTTATGTTCGTCGAATTATCCCGTGGCCGCCTTCACGAAAAAAGTGTAGCATCCAGGCCGACGCATTATCACGATAAATTCACGAAATAATCTGAGTGAAAGAGGGATCGACTGTTTATCATTATCAAAACTAAAAATATGATTATTTGTTATTTCAATCGAAAGCTTCGAATATGTTGCATGTGATTTTTTTGTAATTTGATATACATATATTTATATCGCGTATGGAATTCATACAATCTTTGGATTCACCTGCGTTATTAAAAAGTACTGTTACATTTTAATGAAGAAATTGAGTGGAACGATGGAATTGTAGCGAACGAATGAATTGGCAGATTCGATCATTTTTTTTTTCTTTTTTTGTCTCGACGATTCATGTAAAAGCAATTCCATTCGGTGTTTTAAAAAAATTGTCCGTAGATTTTTACTATCTTAATACTCAGGAGATACTCTGGCAGAAACCCAGTACACATTTTATTAACCTAAGCTATGTATTAAAGGAAAAGGGGGAGAAGAAATCTTGAGGAACGAGGAGGTGATACCAAATAAAGAGTACATGGTTAATATGCAATAAGTTATAAAAATCCCGATATTTTTATAGAAACGAACGCGTATTTTAATATCTAGAATATAAGGAATTTTTAGTATATTTGGCCTAGGATAGAATAAAAATGCGAAAATGCTCAATACTCTTGATTATATATTGTTTTACAATTGAAAATTTCACGCGTCGGACCGATTTAAGAAAACGCAAGTGTATACGGGTCTCTACGAAAGATGTTGGTGTATATCTGCGTTAAGATAATCAAACATTGTAAGCCCGTTCAGGGTACGTTCCTTATTGTTAATTAAGTATAACGTTTCTTTCACGTACTTGCATTTTTTATTTCATTCGAAATCTACAAGATTCGTGTTTGCGTTAAATAAATCTTTTCGTGAGATCATACGCGTCTATGATTCAAATATGAAAGAAAGACCTATTTCACAGAATTTCCACCAGTCGACATGTGGAATGCCGTATTGAATTATCTAATCAGAAAAGTTCGTAATAATGCAAGCATTTCCATAGCATTCTGAGCATCACTGCGAGAAAGATCGTCAAAAGCGTCGCAGTCACGTGTCTCGGCGGTTTCGTCTCGCATGGTTCTCCGGAGACCTTTAGAATCCTTCGCGACGGAGGCGGAAACGATAGAGGAAAAATCCTGGATTTTGGGGGATGTTCTTTTACGTGTTCCCCCTTCATCGAGAACTTGGTTGCCTCGGTAATCCTCACCAAGATCATCGTTCCCATATACTCCTCTCTCTTGGGTAGCAACACCTGTCCGTAGAATTTGTTGTGACCCACGTAATGTAGCTTGTCGTGCGCCACCTCCGTCACCAGGACGTGACACAATTTACCGACCTCTTCTTCGTACGGTTCGTAGGAATAAAACAATTCCGTCAGCTTCTTCGTCCTCGCCTTGACTTGCTGCGTGGGCACTCTCGGCATCCTGGCGGCGGGTGTGCCAGGCCGGGGGAAGAACTGATTGATAAAGAGACTCGGGAACTTGTATTTTCTACAGAGTGTCAATGTCTCCTCGAAATCCTCTTCCGTTTCACTGGGAAAGCCGCAGATGATATCCGTGGCGATGGTAAGATCCGGCACTCGCTCTCTCAGGTAATTCACCACGTGCTCGAAATCGGCGCGCGTGTACTCGCGCTTCATGTCCGCCAATACCTGATCGCTGCCGGACTGCACCGGAATGTGCAAGAAGCTGTAGACTCGAGGATGCTTCAGGATCTTGGCCATTTCATCGAGGTGCTCCAGAATGTACGGCGGATTGGTCATACCGATGCGCATCATGCAATTCTCGGGGATCACGTCGATCAGCCGCCACAGTAGCTCCGGCAAATTGGTGCCGATGTCTCGGCCGTAAGCGCCGGTGTCCTCCGATGTGATCCACAACTCGCGGACGTCCTCCTCAAACGCTCGCACTGCCCGTGCGATGATCTCCTCCGGCGGGTAACTTCCCAACTGCCCTCGCGCGTGTCTCGTCTTACAGTAGGTGCACTGATTCAGACAGCCCGTGCTGATAGCTATGATCTCGATCAGCGGATTCTTCCGTATCTTCGGCAGATCTAACGTAGAGCCGCCAATCTTCTTACCCGTCGAATTCTTCTTCGTCTGCAGAAATCTTACCGTGTGACCCTTCAATGTCTCCTCCACGACCTCCACCACTCGATCAATCTGTTGCACACCTATCATGCTCAGTCCCTTGAGAAAGGAAGACTTTGGAGCGCCTTGTGGCACGCATCTGAACGAAACAAGTAAAATGCTTAACAGATAGTAAATTATCGATCAACATTTTGAGTGTCATGCGGGATTCACTTGTGTCAACCCTACTAAATTTCTTGGTCATTTGGTGTACTACTGTAAACACACACACATAGAAAGAGAGAGAGAGTCAAATTACTTAACACATTGCTAAGCATTACACTCGATTAGGTTAAATATTTGCTGAAATTTCTTTACTAAGTGAGTAAATAAAACCGTCAGTCACAAACTGGCAGCCTGTCTATGAATAACTCATCCAAATATAGATGATGTGGCGCTCAATGTGTTAATAGTGTAACCATACATACGTACCCTGTGACCACGATATGTTTGCCCAATTTCTTCCCATTCCCAATCTCATTTCTGAACTGATCCTCCGCGGGACTTTTGACTGTGCATGAATTCAAAATCCACAGATTCGCTTTGAGCTTATCGTCGGTCAGATTGTAACCCTGCGCCGCAAGTTGACCAGCCATATATTCGGTATCCGAACTGTTGTGGGTGCAACCCCATGTTTTCACATAGATCGTCTGCGTACCGGGTATTATGCTCGACAAGATAGACGGTTCCGGTGCTTGCTGAGATTCCTGCTTTCTTAATATCCGTCGTATCCTGACATCCTTCGAGTGTTTACTTACTTTGGGAACTAGCTCTAACGATGTGATCAATTCTCCGAAATCTTCGATATCCGTGTCGCACAAAGAAGGCATATTTATCACGCGTACTAATTATTTCTCCAGATTTTATCTCTTCAACACTCCCCGTATGTCGCGAGATAATCTGAAACTAAGCATACGTGCGAAAAGAGGTTACGTGGAATAACAGATTTGACTAACTGTCCTGGGCTTTCGGGTAATTACGACAAAAATTCAACTACTTACGTTGATTACAAAACTAGCTGTTGCCGATTGTTGTTACTTTAAATGCAAATAGTATCTTGTTCTGAAGATTATTGAGGTTAAATTAGTAAGTGCTAGAGTTCCTTTCTTCCTTCTATTCTGATGGTAAGCAGCCTGTCGGCCTTGTATCGCCCCAGCACCACTGACAAGGTGCAAGAGCTCCCACCAATGATGCCAATGATGGCACTGAGCCACACGCACACAAGCGTCGCGTGCGCAGCTTCGGTCGTCTTCGACTGACTCAACGCGGCCAAACGTATCCGTTGTCTCTCCCCTTCGCCCCGTAGTTAACAATAGCTGTTGGAAAGGGAGAGACAGTGGATACGTTGGCTCGCGTCGAATCAGCCAAAGACGGCTGAAACTGCGCACGCTCGCAGACGTTTGTGTGCGTTGTGGCTCGGTGCCACCATTGGCATCACTGCATGATGTGAAATAACAAACGTATAAAGGATAAAATGTTGTAACATCCAATTGACTTTTATTCAGAATATACAGTTTATTATATAACAATACTGTATAAAATATATCAGCTACGAAACAATATCGGGGGCACAAAAAGGTCTCGATAAATTCGACTTAATACTATCAGGAAATAACTTATCATTATTTCTAGTATGAAATTGCTATATCGAAAGAAAAAAACTGAAGAATTTTACAAAAATATAGCTCAATAAGCTACGTTAGACTACTCGAAATACTAATGTATATCGTCTTAGGAATGGACGAGCATTTTAAAAGATGGTTAATCAATTCTCAATTGCTTCGGCAGGATCTTCTGGAAGAAAGAACGTTATTTTTCGAAATAATATCGCTATACAGAGAAAGTTAATATTTCCGGATAAAAATTCTTGCGTCAAAGCTAATGTTTGATTTCTTCTTCATTCAAGAAATATTCAAGGAACAGGGCACTTATAGAAGCATTAACATTATAATTGATCAGAGAACAAAAAAGATTAAACTACATAAATTATGTAGTAAAATAGTGTGTGATCCTTGGTCTTAGTATTTACTCTAATATCCAATTTGTAGGTAATTAAACCTCCTCGATGTTAAAATATATTGATACATAGCAGTCGCGCGCACTTTGCAAAATTGTCTGGTTAGTCACAAAAGAGTTGATATTCGTCGATATTTATATGTCGGATAACTCAACGGCATTCATAACGTTCACTGATCTGTACGATTTCAATATATGGCTCGCTGAGATGTATAATGTCCACATTCGAGTTTAAAAGTGTCTTGTATAAAGATATATATATATATGTGTATATCCAGATATATATGTGTATATATATATATATATATATATATAGATAAGTACATATACGAAACAGAATAATCAGAGTAATCGCAGTGATTACTTACAAGAACTCTGTGTGTAAACTTTTGTAAATAATGTTCGCTTTTGTCACCTGTCTTTATTGATTAAGAGCAATCCTGAGGTAAACGATTCATCTCGCGTACAAATATACGAGGTCGTGACTCATTCCGTATACACATGACGGATAATGTGAGATTTTTCACCATCTCTCGCGAATGTGAAACAACCGTACTCTGACAGCAGCAGCGGTACAGTTGAATTAAATGCAGGTACCTTTTCGTGTGACGCATGTGTTTTACGATCGCGTGATTAGAACAACCTCTTTTCGTAGGAAAATAAGCTGTGAACGTTGCCCTCTTGTTGAGCCGAGTGCGTTCTTCTTTCAAACTTCAGTTCCCCGCTGTACATCATGGATCGCAAGGTGGAGAGCGACCTCGCGCCGATGTCTTGACAGCTGTGCTTGATACCGCACGTCAGGTAAGGTAGAAACTTGAGCACCGAGCCCTTGTCCACTATGGAGCCACTAACACCTTGAGCTACCTTCAGCTTGTCCATTTCGTTGTGAAAATACCTATCCATCGCCGAGCCCTTCGCGTCCTTCCTATTCATGGCTTCCAACGAGCCCATCCCCCTGTACTTTTTAAGACGAACCCCGTCGCTGAAGAAATACTCGCCCGGAGCCTCGGACGTCCCGGCCAACAGAGAGCCCATCATCACCGTGCTGGCACCTAAACTAAGACCCTTGATAATGTGTCCGATCGATTGTATACCGCCATCTGCTATGACGGGTACGCCGAATTTCCTGGCGTATTCGGAAACCTTGTAGACAGCTGTCGCCTGTGGCCGTCCTACCGCCATTACCTCCTGCGTTATGCAGATCGAGCCGGAACCCATACCGACGCGCAACGCGTCCGCCCCCGCCTCGATGAGATTCTTCGCTTGCATCGTGGTCACGACGTTACCCGCGATCACTTGAAGATCCGGATACTGCGACTTGATATACTTGATCATCTCGATCTGATACATCGAATTACCCTGGGACGAATCCAACACCACCACATCCACGCCGACAGCTTCGAGTTGATGCAGCCGTTGCTTGTCCGCGCTGCGTGTCCCTATGGCAGCTCCTACCAACAGCTGTTTGTTCTCGTCCTTGCTGGCATTCGGATAATTACGATTTTTCTTCAAGTCAGTCCTCGCCATCAGAGACACCAGTTCTCCCCGCTCGTTCACAATGGGAAGCTTCCCCTTCTTGGACTTCTCCAAGATGGCGTTCGCCTCTTGCAGCGTCACACCGGCTGGTGCCGTGATCAAATTCTCCAAAGTTGTCATAATTGAGCTAAGACTTTTGTGTTGATAATTAGGCAAGCATTCGAGGAAGTCGATATCCCTGGACGTGACAATGCCTAACAATTTACCGCCGACTTTGCCGGTATCTGTAACGGGTACTCCACTGAAACCATGCTCAGCCTTCACATTCAAGACATCTTTGACCGTATGATGTGGTGCAAGGACAACCGGATCTCTGATAAAGCCATGCTTGTACTTCTTCACCTGTGAATGAAACAAATATGAATGGAGATAAACATTTCAAGATATATTTATTAAACATCCTTTATCAGATATATTTATTAAATATCCTATGTTAAACATTTGTAGGAACAAGAGGTGAGAAAAATTTTGTCGTTCATACCTTGTGCACCTCATTGGCTTGATACTCAGGTGTGCAATTATGATGTATGATACCGATTCCACCAGTGAGAGCCATCGCGATGGCCATGTCGGACTCGGTAACGGTGTCCATAGGAGAGGATATGAGCGGGGCTTTTAGCATAATTTTCCTGGTTAATGGTGACAGTAAATCGACCTCCTCCGCTGCGAAATCTATGTAACCCGGTAAAATGATGAAATCGTTGTAAGTGAGACCATCACCAGCGGCGAACAGACGCTCGGCCGACATCCCATCGTCCGGCAGCGGCACGTCCGCAGCTTTTACACCGCCTAACACGTAGTCTGCCATAATTTTCTCTCTTCCACTAGCTGATGTAAAACACCTCGCTCGCAGCTGTACTCGTAATTGCTGCCAAGTCTACTCCTGACCTCGAGAAGACGAATTCTACTACCCAGAACACGTGCGCACGTGCGTAAAGCGCGTCGAGTCGCACACAACCTCAACGAAGCCGCCGGGCAAAATGACCGAACTCAAAGAACGTCTTCTTTCACCAGACGGTGGCGATATACAATTAGCCAGAAGGGGGAGGGGGGCAACTCAAACGATAAATCGATGTTCTTCCTTCGTTAGAGAATCGATTGCCTTCTCGATGTTTTTGAATTCTACTTCCCTATCGATAGATTCCTCGGTAGAGGTCGTGTTGATACAGGCCCATATAAAGTCAGTGGTACACGATGCTTGTTTTCGTGCTGGATTGTTTGCTGGATAGATATACGTCCTGATTGGTGCATTTACAAAAATGGATGACAAATAGATTCACCAATCAAAATGCGGTATTTCCATCCAGCAAGCAATTCAGCACGAAAAGTAAGCTGGCTTTAATCCTCTTGAATGTTTTCAGCTTTCAGTAGATACAGACTTCTGGAGCCAAATATTGAGAGAGAGAGAGAGAGAGAGAGAAAGAGTTTTCAGTAGTTTTTAACGCTAGGAGGAAACATTTATTTTTCATCAATAAATGAAGACAAAAGTATTACTGAAGTGTATGAAATTCAACCAACCGTCGAGTCGTACTACTTGAAAAGTAAGATCTCTCATTTTCAAATAGTACGACTCGACGATAAATTAGTCAACTCGTTATTTTTAAATTGACACGATCTCACGTATACACACATACACATGCAATTAAACACAGATTAAAGGTTGTTTTTCTTCGATTAGTCTTGTATCGCATTTATCCTAATAAGTATATTTACCTGAAAATTACTAAGAAACTAATTCTCCCATTGGGTATGAGATGTGTATAACGAAACTTGTCAAGGAAGAAAGATACACCCAACGATCCTCGGTATTATCGATTTATTTACAAAAAAGAAACAATAATACAACGTCGTTTGACGATAATCCAAAGTTTAGTCGCAAATATATAATCGTGTATACAATATGCTTGTATAAGAAGTGCGATCAGAAAATATAAGGAACTCAGTATAGAGAAGATACATAAATCACAAAAATTAGAATATATATAGGAACGTGTGTGTAATTGGGACTGGACGTTTGCACGAAACAATGATACAAGAACACACAGTGTGAAATATAAGTACATCGCGTTAAACACGAATTCAGGCAATGTCGTTACATTTTCCGTACGAACTCTGAAAAGCGCGCAAAGCTAAAGAACGTTTGGCGCAATTTCCGCGGCTGTAGTACGACACTCCATCCAATGGTGAATTTGGCGAGTTTGCAAATTACGAAATTATAACTGTCGATTGAAGCTTACTTGAGGCGCAGGAAAACGGTATTCAGAACATCGATAGCCTCGTCAAAAGCTTCCTCGAACGACGACGCGATATATTCGAGCATGAACGCGATGTAACTCACGTCCTCGTCGTCTTCGTGTTCTTCCTCGTCGAACATCGAGTAGTCATACATCATGGGCAGGAATATAATCACAACGTACACCATGACAACGAGAAACGCTGAAAGAATTTCGCATCACTATTTTCCGTCACTTTAGGAACCGTCGGGGCTGTAGTAACATCGTTTCGTTATTACACGCGCAACCCGATTGTAATTTACCTATAGCTTTGAAACCGAGCAACCGAACATTGCTCGCATGATCATCAATCTTCTTTCGTTTATTAATCTTTTTCACACGCATCGATGATACGCCGAAAGTTTCACAAACGTTTTCGCGCGTTGCCGTATCGCCATTCGCGACCAAGAACGACCTCTCGCCGATAGGCGCTGGATCTCGAGATGCTTTTCCAGACGCGTCTCTGGGGGGGGGGGGAGAAGGAGGAGAGAGATAACAAATTCTATCGATCTAATTAAAAATCCGAGATTGTATAATTGACAATAACAACGTATCACGTTTGTTTCTCTGCGCTTACAATGTATCATTGATCATGCAAGAGAACACGGAACATTGTTGCAACGTTCGAGACGCGGGCAGACTCGCGCGACTCCGCGACTCGCGGTTGTCTTCTTCGCGCGCGGTATCTGGCCGAGCCGACGTGACCTTACGTCTGAGCTTCTTGTAATACTCCCAATAACTCTTGTTCAATAGCTCTTGAGTCTCTGGAGGAATGGGCGATGGTTGCTCGAACGGATTGTCCGCTCGCAGATTCGCCAGCAGACGGTTCCGATTCATTCGACCTCGTCTCGACGCATTGAATCTCATTCGTATTGTACCGTTCATCCAATTTCTCCGACGTGACAATTGACTTACCCTCAAGGGATCGCGAGTTCGTTCGTATCGTTTGATGCGACGGGGCCCGGGCAGCATGAGGGTACAGTCGGAGTCTGTGGCCGCCAGACGAGATCTCCTCCGAAGGAACGACTTGGCCTTTCGCGACAGATTTGTCGGATTCGCCGACTTACGGTTCGAGTTGTAGCGCGTCTCCTCGCGCCGTAATTTCGCCTTGCTCTCGTCACTCTTCTGACGTTCCTTGCCTGTAACCTGTGCACATTGTTGCAACATTTTGTCGCACGAGCAATGACTCTCAGATATTTCCGCTGTCCCGGTCTTTTCACTCGACACTTTTCGCTCGAGTAACGCCGAATGAGAACGACGCTGCAACGTATGATTGCTCTTTGAATCGCCTTTGCGAATTTGCGAGTTTCCCAATTTCTCCGCGATATTTAAATTCGAGGAGTTTTCACAACCTCTCGCGTCGCCCACGTAATCCCTATTAAAGTTCTTATAATGATCATTCCGACCGAACGGAATCTCGCAAATGTTTAAGTTAATGTTCTCTTTATCCCGTGTCAAGTTAGAAACGCATCCATCGTCGCAATTCTTGCTCTCAGATATAATATTATTTGTGTTGTGCCGTTGGATAACTGGAAAACAATTAAATTTATAATTCCTATCTTGTCAATGAGCAACGCAACGCAAACTCATCATTGTGAAATGGACCTTTTCCGTTTTCAAATTCCTTGGATGTACTCATCTTTGAATCGGTCGGTACAGATATTGTAGAGATGATATTGCCGGCAGTTTCTTCACGCTTCGCATCACCGCTCTGACATTCGTGCGATACATGCACTTGCGTTTGATTTGCATTGCAAAATTCACCTGGCTTCTCAGCCTTCTGTCGCGACACCTGTCTGTGTTACATTATAAACTGCGTTGTCATCATGCGAAATCAAACATCATAAAGCAGGTGGTTTAGCATGTAATCAATTGGAATATAAATTACCTTTTAAAACGCGGATCGACGCAGCCAGGCAATCTTTCCGACACATGCGTGACAGTTTCATATTTTTTATTTATTCTTGTCATGGGATATCTGTAATAAGAAAATGGAGAATACAGGAGAAGTAATGTTTCTAGACTTAATCAACTTATAATAAATATATATAAAAAATGTCAAGAAACTTACTGATATGTAATGGTTTGTGCAATATTATGATTTCTTCTGTGAGTTCCTATCACAGTAACCACACAAGGAGGTTTAATGATGTCACCAGTGTTACCGGTTAAATGACGTAAAGGTATTTTAGGCCAAGACGGATCGGAAGGGAGTCTAATTTCGTGGGAAAACATGGGTGACATTAAAAAATCGATTGTTTTCTTGCTTATTGGACGTAAACGATGATTCTGTAACACGATGCCTACCGTAACGTGCTGGCGTTACATTTTTCGGGGATAGCTAATAGATTTTGTCCGTTGACTGGAAAAAGGGAGACCATACGTTAAAATTGACAGCATAAATGTTTTTACTTATGATGTCAATTTTCCGAGTATTTACCTCTTACATGCAATTCAAGTGCACCCGCATCGTTGTCGCGCACCATACCGAGAAACGCACAATTGTGAAAACCAAGATTCCCGGTATAACGTAATGTACGACGACAATATTACTTCATGAAATTGTCAGCCTCGATGCATTAGCACTTGATACATTAGCCTAAATAATTTATGAGGCACGATATGCATACGCATGTCTGCATCACATGCTTCCTCGATATCGAGAGAGACTTGAATGCGAACGTCGTATGAATTATAAATTGTTTTATTTGTCGTGAGTCAACTGTCTCGAAATCCTCTTCCTTTCCCTCTATTGCGGCACAGAAGCAGATATAATATAAATGATTATTAACGATTATATTTTATTATCGCATATATATATATATATANATCTTTGTATAATATGTATACAACTGTAAGTTTTTAACATTTCAGAATACAATATATAATATTTACACCGAATGTACAGTAAATATGATTATATAGCCCAGTCTTGAGTTTCGTAGGACGAAACTTTTTTCGTCAAATTTTTGGAATTTCGACGAGATCGCGTCCAATATCGAGGTGTCTCAATGGACGTTGGCGGATATCTCTAAAATTGATATAACTCAAGGCCAAAAGCAGCTTCCTATGCACGCAACATAGGTGAGTTAAGTTCGCTGGGGAACCTCAAGTCTGGTTGCAACATTATGCAGGAACAATCAATTATTATTCTATCTTTTAGCGGATTGTATCATACTATTCTAAAGTAAATATTTGCGCGCACCATGCTTATTGTTATATATCACATCACATCGTTAATCTATCATTACGATAATCTGTCATTTCTCTCTCTCTCTCTCTCTTTTTCTCTCTCTCTATTTTTTCTTTCTCCACTTCCTTTCCTTTGGAAAGATCTGATTTCCACTCGGCTCCCTTCTACAAATCACCCAATGCTATATAGTATCTCTATATACATAGTTTCTAACGTATCTCTTTACAAAGTCGAGAAACATTCGTGATAAAAATATGATATAGTATAACGTGTCATTCAATTCAGCTGAGATCAGTCGAGTTGTATTAATTTATCAAAGATCGGACTCTTTCGAAGCCGCGTGGATAAGGCGTGTGAATATGAATGAATTTCGCGACTGCAATGCGAGAAAAACGCGCGTCTTTCATTACTATTTATTACACGTTCGTTCTTTGGAATAACTAATGTTTTTTTCCCCACATTTCCGAGTTTTTGAAATTGACAGACACAGTTTACGTCTCACTTCGCATATCAATATGTTACATCTCTTTTTCTCTTAATACCTTGTTGATACCTGAACACAACACAGCGAAACTTGTGCGCATTATTAATCGAAGCAAAGAAGAACAAATATAAATTATTCAGCATATAATAGAAACTGTAACACACACACACACACACACGCGCGCGCGCACGCACGCACGCACGCACGCACGCACGCACACACACACAAATTTGCGATTGAATCATAAAATTATATTCTACTAGCGAAGTAAGCTGATGGATGTGTCTTGACTAGACGTTCAAAATGTAACGTAGCTCGAATCATTGTTCTCGCCGAATATAAAACTTTCACCTTATATCACTGGTTTCTTACTCTACGCGTATTACACGCAATGATGTCTTTTACTATCGTCGAATCTTTAATTGGTCCAAAGCGCTAGCATCTTTCCCATCAATTCTTATTAATTGTAACTATATTTCATTCTTATTTTACAATACTTTGCGAAAAATTAGCGAAATACTGGAAATAATAAGTACAGAAACGCATTGAAAAAAGATCCCTTCTCTCTTCTCTCTCTCTTTCTCACGTACGAAAGCTTCTTAAAGCGTGTAGGCGAAGTGCCATTTGTCTCCGACAAGTTATACATTCACTGATCATCAACACGCATACGCGCGCGTTATAATATGTAAAGCTTTAACAGCATAAAAAGCATTACCGCTTATGAAATTACGTATAGTCTTATATACCGAGAATTTCTTTGATTTTTTAATCAACTCTCTTATTACATACTATATACAGATTTTATAAAGAGACATTGGATTTTTGCCTTTTTAAAAACTCAATTGCAGAATTCGCGCTTTCGTAAGGAACAACACAGAATCTAAGTTGTGCATATTCTCAAGGAGAAAAACAACGAATTCTTATCCAACAAATATCTTGGTAGCGCTGTTATGTAATCAGTTTTTTGCTTGCGAAATAAATTGGTGAAAAATTGCAAAGAGGTAGTTTTAGAGATGCGTGAAGAACATTTAAATAATATCAATTGTGTGTGTTGTAAATTAAATAACAACGATTATTGTCCGACAGTAATATTACATTATATCGTAATGTTCACCGCGAAATAAAGCGATACACGCGTTTGAAGAAAGTGAAATCTAGATTATCGCGATATATCTGATACTGACTTGTGAGGGACTTAAGTAGAAACAGGCATTCACGGCCGACACGAGCATACAAGAAACGCGTGCTTATTTAGTTACAAGTTTCTTTTTTCTTATTGCGGTGAGACATATATACGTACACGTATGTATATATATCTTATCATAATAAGTATATGTATATATGTATACATAATATATGTATCGCGTATTATATATAGTATATATAATACGAGATGTTTTTACCGTGTTCTTGACTCTCTCATTATTGTCTCGCTAAGCTTCATGATCACCGCTGTCTATTCCTATCAAAGATTCCGTTTGCTCCGCTTCAAGATCGGGGATCCTGAAAATCCATATTTTACACATAATACACAATAAAATATCCAGTCAGATATTCCATAATTGTATAATTATTCTATCGTAGTCTGATTTACGCACCTTGTCGATCTGTTGTTTCTTCTGCAAATCCAAATGTAAAATCGTTTAATTAGATCCATAACAGGATCCCAATTATCGTAATAAGATAGAAGAGATACTGTCAGGAATGCCAAAAGCATTGGAATGCTGCCTAGGTAGAAAATACAGGGGTACTCGACTTTCTTTAGGAGGACATCGGCTACCATTGACATGGGCATTGTCAGGCTTACAGCTAATGTTGCTACAAGAGACGATGTCAAAAAACAACCCCTGTGGATATAAGAAAATACAATGACTTTACGATGAAGTTATCATATATCATAACATACTAAGAATGGACACATTGTTGAAATTACCATAGCCAAAGAACCTCGCCTAAGACTGTACCAATCAGGCCGTTTATAATTAAAAATGTCCACTGATGACTATTGGGCCATTCGAATTCCTCCCAATGGCCGTAATGAAGAATAAAAAATAAAGGCCATAAAAGCGTTAAATTAAATATTCCCACGAAGCCAAAGAACATTGGTATATCCATCTTGTCCTCGTGATCTACTTTCCTCTTTAAAAATACAATATACGCGGCGTAGAAAAAAGCACTGACTAGAGCTAGTATTATGCCCGTTGACATGCTATTATTTTTTACACTTAAATCCGAAAGACCGACTAATATCTGTAAATATAAAAAAAATGGTTTATAGGAGGGATTATTAACTTGAGAGATTCCTCCTGAGTTTATTGGCATTGATAAAAGGACAATTTGCTTGTAAGCTGGAATCCTCGAATAGTCGTATCGATCGATGCATATTAAACTTTCAACTTACTAGTCCAAAGATGCTAATAACTACAGCGGTTAACTTGGACAGCGTAAACTTATCCCCTCCGTTACTAGGGAAAAAGGCAGCGAGGAATAAAGTGAATAAACTAGACGTCGAAGATAATACAGTGACGATTCTGGCTTCAGTTTGCTCTAGTGATATTTGGTACGTGTAATTTGCCATGAACCACTGGAAGAAGACAGTATATAAACTGACCGACTGTGTATTGCAGACCGATATTATTCAAGTAAATTTTCACTTTATGTTACGTACAAACAGGCAAAACATAAGGGCTATTTTGGCCACTTTCTGAACAGAGAACTTGTTAGCCTGCCGCCTCGCGTGTTCTCCGGCTCTAACGCTGGCTTGGTAACTAAGTCGTGCCAATAGAGCTTCTGTGGCATCACTCTCTGACATATGGCGCACTTCCGCTAGTTTACTAAATCTTACAGAACGTATAGACGAATCGTCACTTTCCGTACCCGATGAACGGTCGCAGTGATCCGGAGTTTTTATCGGAACAAATGTTGGATCGCTCTAGAACAGAATAAAACAATTGTTATTGATCAGCAGTTGTGAATCGATATTACATATCGTTGCTACTTTTGATGTATTTAAAACAAGTTATAGGAAAAAAAATTGCAATTATATCTTTCACTTACTAGGCTGGTATTAGCTTCCGAATAAAAGTTGTCATCCTCGACATTGGGATCTATGAACTGAAGGAAAACGAGATACATGTGTACAAGTTTACAAGAAATACGTACAAATTAAAAAAAAAAAGGTAGCAAAAGAGGAAACGCATGCATGTGGTATCTCGTGATATCAAATTTATACATTTCAATAAGTACCATGTATGTTGCTGGCTTATTACACTGTTCCCGCCAAGGTGGCCAGAAGCACAGGCCAAGTAAATAAAGTGTAAACATAGATGTTCTCACATATGTGCTGAAAAAAGGTTTTTCAAATGCTGCCTCTCTGTAAATATACTGAAACAGAATATATTTTACAGTTGCGAAAGCAAATTGAGATGTAATGTATGGTAGAACAAAGAAAACAAGTATTTCAAGTACACATAGAGAAACAATGACTGTAGAAAGAAATATCTTACCTTGGTGAGTTCAGAACTAGAGACCCAAATTATATCGACCAGCAGCAGCACTAAAAGTCCTAATATGAGTCTTTGAGATTTATTCATCATCGCAGCAAGCCTATGAGGATCCTCTACAATCCCCTGTTGTCTACGCTGACGTAGTTCTACCGAGCAACTCATCTTGCACTTGGTCTCTCTTGCTTATGGCGTTACATCTGCACGTTGACTCCTGTAAGATCATGCAATACAGATGATATCATAATTATAGGTAGATATTTGAAAGATGATATCACGTAGAGATAAATTAAAGTGATTATTTACAATAAATCTTTCTCTCTTCCACTAGATGAAATCAGCATTGTATAGCGGTTACCAGACGGACATTTCAGTCGGTGCCTTCGATTCTGCGTTGATCCGTTCTAATCGTGCCTCGCAACACAAAGGTATGTAGTTTGCTTAATTATTGGCTCGGCGACGCATTAAATGACGAAAAACGCGCGGAAAACGTAGAGAAGCTGGGCTCGCGCGTTGTACGCACTAGCCCTACCATCGGCCGAGGTACGAGGACGCGCGAGGCGAAGATTCAGATGTTAACAGGTGTCGAGGAAAGGCGATAAGCGATATTCATGATTCTCTCAACGTCATACTTGACAAGATAACCTAACTTAACCGGCCATGGACGACCGCTCCGGTTGACGTCGGTCCCGCATTATCGTGTCTCTCTCGCTACGAACGCACGAACCTCGTATTGGTTCTTCTTCGAATGCGCAAAGCTTTCCGAGAGCGAGTATCGTCACGAATATCGTTTGTGCACCGCACTAGACCCGTACGATTCCGGCGCAAGCTACAGCATAGCGTCCGCCTACATCTTGGAGCGCTGCTGATAACAGGTACATAAGCTGGCCGTTATCGCATATGATAGCACCGTCGCAATATCGCGATATCGCCGTCCACGCGCATCGTCCCTCTCTCTCTCTCTCTCTTCCCCTCACTTTCCTTCCTGCCCCATTTGTGCCGCAAATTTCCAACACACTCGACGCACGATTGCCATATAACCGACTTTTGCCAGTATCCCAAGTCTCGTCAGACGCTCGTCCAGCCGTCCTGGGCCACGCGATGTTTCAGCAAACGTTAAATCGCGACACACTTGCCGCGCTTGACATCTCACGCTACACTAGCGACATTTTATCGCTCGGTTTCGTTCGCGACTGACGTAAAGTGCGAACGAACCTTCAATATTCAACCGCATTCAACCAGGCCTATATCGGTTGCCATGGTAATTGAACGAGGCAACAATTCTCTCTCTCTCTCTCTCTCTCGCTTTTTCTTCCTTTCCATTCCTCATCATAAGATTTGCTAAAGTTGAAGGGTTAAGCGGTGATGATACGGTGCGAGCACGAGGGCGCGAAAAACAAAGGTGAAAAAGTTACCGATAGTTAAATTATCGTAATGGCGAACGACATTATTCGTAACGGCCGATTACAAGAAACCACCACGATCGTACAACGGGCGAGAAGCGACAGAAGCAAAAGAGGTATCGAAAACACTAAGGTCACCTTTTCTCGGGCATTCAGCGTCAATATATATACATGTATATACACGAATTCATCGCGAAACTTGAATATGGATGGTCGAATGACCGATGAGAGCGATCGATCGATCGATTTACAATAATCGCATGCAACCTCATGCATTGCATACGAGGCTCTTCAGCCGCGTTCGATTCGGGCTTACGCGTTCCATTAAGTAAGCGTCCATTCCATCTTTATTGCCTGTTACATGACAAAGGGGAGATAGAATGACGCTTACAGCGCCCAAATAGAACGCAATCTTCGTCGGAGATCTTCCTCTTACCGTTTGCCGTTCGCAGCTCCGGACATAGCGGCTATCGAAAGTCGCAATTGGTTGTTACATCGACATTACACGAGGCACGAGTACAACGCTTGCAAGTTGCTTATCGAGCAAGAATTATCGAAATCGGATGGTCATGAATACGCAAATTATTTGAAGGTGAGACAGTCATACGATCGATTTGCTTCGAGAAGAAAGTGGATGAGCATACCATCGCTGCGACTTGTCGTCGTTATTATCCCAGATAGCAGCGTAGTATCCAAAATCGAGACATACGACGTCTTCCCAACTTCGGACATTGTGCTGTCCGAGATGTGTAATCGTTCGCGCGAAATCCGAATTCGGAAACGTTTCGATAAACCCGCGTTCGGTTTCTTTCGAGAAGTCTCACAAATTCTTGTTTGCTGATAATTTGTAAATCAGGAACGATGTACTTCTTCCGTTATGTGCGGTCGACGTTTTTAATTATTGTATCCTCTCAGGGCTTAATTCTGAGAAAAGAGGGTAAAATTCAAGACTCACTGGATTGCTTTCAAACGGCTTACAATGTAAATTCGACAAACGTCGATAATGTTAAGCAGATAGCGAAATCGTTGTAAGTAATGCGGTCTAAGCCGGCCGCTCTCAGTTTGGAACACGTCAGTCGAACACACGCTTCATAATTTTACGCTTTCCTCAGGTTAATAATGGGAAGTCATCAGCGAGCGATAGACGCGTACATCGAGGCGGAGAAGATATCCGTTCTACCGGATTGGGAAATATATAACGGTCTTGGCAAGTTATTTATAACTCAATACATGACACACTATATGTACATCTCGCGTTGCACGAGTTAGTTGAGTTACGCGCGCATCTAGATACCTAAATATTCCAGGAAGCGTATTACAATTTGATATTTGATATAGAAATGGCTTTTGCACTTTGCATACCGACGCACGTGACATTTAATAATGTCGCGAAGCAAAGTTGGACGACACTGTTTCCCGAAACCTGTCAAACGTTTAGAATATTTCACGTTTAGGCGAGGCTCACGTGAAGCTAAATCAGTTGCAAGAGGCCAAAAAGTATCTAAAACGATCAGCCGAGTTGACGAAAAACGAATTGCCCAATCTCGCTCTCGCGAAACTCTATCTCTTAGATGACATGATTCCAGAGGCTAGGACAGCTTATACAGCGGCTCTGAAGTAAGTAATATCACGTTATTTTTCATCCTTTCATGGTCTAAAAAATGTCGTGAAAAAGGCACCTTTGAGAGAAGGCGAGTGTGCTATTCAGGGCCTTAGGAATATTGTTTTGACTTTGATTTATCGGTAGTCTCTTATTTCACCGTGAACAATTTATCCCCCGTATTATCCTTTTGACCCGATTTTAACCTTTAGCATTAACTTTGATCCTTTTCCCGTACGCTTAGCGGGAATTCCGAGAGCATCGATGCAGCGACGGAATTGGGTCTTTTGTATCTTAGGATCGGAGACACGCAACGAGCATTTCAGCAATTCGGAGCGGCACTGGCTCACTCGTCTAATTGCGTCAATGCAATTTTACCCATGGCTTATATAATGCAGGTGCATGAGTTAAAAGTTTAAAAAAAGAATAAAACATTCTTTCCTCGTTCACATTTCTCTCTCTCTCTTTCTTTGTCTCTTTTCATCTCACTTCCGTAATATCATCCTCTATCGCTTTGGAAGTGGATATAGCTAGGAAAGCATACGTATTACGTTGAATCCGATTTTAATTGCGAGATTCTCGCGCCTTTGCGCGCGTGAAACTTGTTTCGTTGCTTTTTGTTGAACAGCTACATTTTCCAGAATCATCGAGAGTACGACGTGGCATTATCAAAGTACAAAGTCGCGGCGCAAACCATTCCAGAGTCTTCAGTGCTTTGGAATAACATTGGCATGTGCCTTTATGGGAAACAAAAATACGTCGCGGTAAGTCTGTCCATTCTTTCTTTTCCTTTCCTTCAATTTTCCTCGGAGAGCACCGTCAGGCACTACGCGCTTAGGCTAATAATTTCAACATGCTTGATAAAGCGCAATTTCGGAATGTTATTTCAAAGTTAACAAATGCCATTTCAGACTTAATTTCGGACTTAATTTGGAATAATACCCGTTAATAGAAAAGAAGTAGCTTCCTCCCAGTCGGTAAGATGCTTTGGACAGCTTATTATCGTACAAAATAGGAAGGTCTCGTTTATCTCTCGTGTACGCATATATGGAGATATGCTTGAAACAATTACCATGTATTTTCTCATTAGCGAATTAATGCAATTTTAACCGAATAGTCCATAATGAATATAGCAGCGTTTAATCCAATATCAGATCTAGTATTTAAAAAAGTTTTATAATCCGATACAGTTAATAACACCCGATTCAATGCTTTAATATAGAATATCGCACCATGTTATTTCGCATTGCGTTTCACAATTTGAGTTTTCGGAAATGCAGCATATACGAGGAGCATGTTTGTAATTTGTTTTCAAGACTTCAAATAGTCGAACAAGATGTCACGAATAAAAGAAAAGAGACGGGAGATGTCTCTCAGGATAATACTTGGCCGGGGTGAAATGAAAAACCGTGGTATTTCATCGTTACATTATAATATCGTATATTCCTGTTTTTCGAGACATGAGTGTGTAAGACGAGACAGTGCCGGAAATATATGTAGAAACGTGAAATTATTATTGTCGCGATTCAATTAGCGTCGCGCTTTGTACGAAGCAGAGTTTATTGTAGAACCGAAACCGTGTGTGTTTTTTTACTGCTGAAAGTAACGCCCGTCCATTCTATCATGAGGAAATTTTTTATCGCCCATTATGTGTGAAATTGAGAGAGAGGAAAACAAGAGAAAGAGTGCGAAATAATGGCATTCTTTTTCAATGCTTCGCAGGCTATTAGCTCTTTGAAACGAGCCCATTATTTGTGTCCGTTATCTTGCATTCCGTCGTGCAATCTGGGAATCGTTTTCCTCACCACCGGGCAGCCTGCATCCGCTGCGGTTTACTTATGCGCCGCAGTTAGCGCCGAACCAAAGAATCCTACGCCGTATTTGTTATTGGGTTGTGAGTAAACAACGAACTTACAAAAGCTCTCTCTTGAGTTCTCGTATCGACAAGTCAGTCCTAACATTGCAAGATGAAAGATGTCAAGTTTTACAGAAATATTTGCGTATTTTATGGTTTAAAGTTTGCAAGTTTTAATCATTTATCCTCTTTATCAGTGGCTTTAAAACGCCTAGATGATTTGGAGGGTGCCGAGAGGTCCTTGACGAAAGCTCATGCTTTAGCTCCTCAGGACCCATTAATATTGATTAATTATGCCGTGGTACTCGACGCTCGCGGTAAACAAGCTAATGCCACTGAAATTTTGATTGCGCTCAACGACATTATGGCCGTTGTCGACGTTGATACACAGGTAGATAGCTTGAAAATCATGCAACATTAGGTTCGATGCACTTGCGTGTTGCGAGGTCACATTTTATGAACTATATCTTTTATGGTGTGCAGGTGTCACAAATGGCGAAAAAGTTATCCAAAAAATTGCACCACGAGGAAACAAAAGCCAACCAAGAGCCGTCGACGGACAATAGCGAGGAGCGACAATTGAGTGCTGATGAGGTTTGAAAGTTACCTCGCTTTCAAAATTAATTAAGATAAAATATATGCGCAATTAAATTACTTTATACGTTTATTGTTTCGTACACAGTGAGCAACGTATATGTACAATGTAGCAACAGTTAAGGACGTATATTGCATTTATTTATTATTCACACGCTTTAGGAGGTACACATGTAAAATATAGCGCACTGATTGTACAAGTCACATAAAGATGGAACTATGAGATCAAGTATACAGAGTTTCGAGAGAAGAATCACGTGCGCAAATTGTTTGTTTCTCAGATGCAACATATCTAATTTTATTAACGGGCTCATTCGCAATTGTTCTAAAAGGGACAGTATTACAATACTAACGGTATAAATAAAAACTTGTGATTTTTCGCAACACTCTCTTTATTCCGGATGAATTCATCTTAACACCTTGTTCACCAATTACAACATAGACTGTATCGTATATTAAACCCGATAAAGCCCGATTTGCCACAAACGACTGCCAATTAAAAAGAGAGAGAAAGAGAAGGAGAGAAAAGAAAAGAATTTTGTAAAATCTCTCTTGCAAATTTCCATTAAACATATGTGCTTTGTACTTCGATTTGCTGCTGGTTCATCGTCGGCCACTTGTTCATGATCCGGGGTTTAAACAACTGGCCGAAAACCATGCGAAATTGCCGCGACATGGAGCAATACAAGATAAAATTTATGCTGCCGTTTAACAACGCCAAGATATCCATCAGCTCTCCAAATTTGTGGTAACAATTACGAAAGAAACAATCGCCCAGAGCCGCGGAAAGCAAACCTAGAATACCTTGGGGAATTTCCGTTACAAGAAACAACAACAATACCGCCACGAGCATCCTCGTTGTTCTGTCTGTTCGTTTGTTAGATTTGTTTACTCTTCGCGTGTATCCTCCCTTCTTAGCATCAAACAAGCCGTGACTCTCCAAGTTGGAGTTTCTCGACGATGAGGTGGATTTTCCGGCCTTCGTGACGCAATGACTGTAGTTTTTCAAAATCTGTTTCCTACCTTTCGCCCTGAATCAAACGAAATTGGGAGTGTTGAAGAGATACGAACGGAACGGGGTTGCGTGCGTACAAGTGAAAGAGGTAACGCACGAATAGAAAAGCGAAACGACAATAAGCAAAATCGCCGTCTATTTCAATTTACCTGTAAAGAGCTTTTATTAACCAACAGATAATGACGGTGAGTAGGACGCACGGCAGAAGCTTAACAATCACGCCGAGTATCCAAAAATTCAATTGATACAGGAAGCCTTTGTTGACGGAGTAATTAACGTCTACGTGGTACAATATCTCCGTAGTGCCATTCTCGTAAACGGTCTGCGCCTTTACCTGCCGTAATAAAGGTTAAGGTTACCGATCTTCCCCGGGACGGGATATCTTTCAATTTACGATCCTCCCGTTTACTTACGCCAAACACGAAATAGCTAGGCGCGCAGGTGAAAAACGGCGCGAGGAAACTGCAGGAAAGAGCGATCGTGCAACGCCTTCCGGTGCACCAAGTGTGATTATACTGTGGAAACCTAACGTGCGTCGTGGAGGTAAAAGTCCTTTTCTGAGAACTTCCCCGCCGAAATCGAGCCGATACTCGAGAGCGAAAAAAACTCACCTGATAGCGATGTACCTCCAAACGGCCAGAGTGAGCGTGAGAGCGATACTGATCGTGTGAAGGAGCTGCGTAAAGTGCATGTGAAACAGCACGAATACGGCCCATCCGTACGGGAATATCCTGCGCTGCGGTAGCACCAGATACTTGTAAATCGCGAAAGGTACGTATTCCAGCATCACCAGCATGTCCGCCGTCGCGAGCCCCGTCAGGATGCGATTTATGGGAGTCACTTTGGTGTCCCTCCTCGTGAGGACGATGATGTTGAGCACGTTGGTGAACGTGCCGAAGGAGCACACTATGAGAGCGGCGTAGCCGTGGTAATTTTTGTATTGTGTCGCGAGATCGCGAATCGCACCGTCGCAGTAACAAGAGGTCGTGAATTGTACGATTCGGGTGCTCCGCTCGCCATCGCCGCTTCCGGAGATCCGATTGCAGTTTCCGCCGTCACGATCGGTCAGGTCGTCGAAGCCGAAACTGTTCACGTAATCGATGTCCTCGTCGGTGATGTTGAGCCGGTGGAAAATGTCCGTGTAATTCCGCAAACGATACATAATCGACGACTTCCCGCGCGAGACCGTCTCGGAGAGATGTATCAGCGGAGATGCGGTGTATTCGAATATATCCGGTGGAACCGACGATACTGCGTCGTGATTCGTTCCATTCCCGCTACTCGGTGAACATATTCGCGTCTTCGACGGACGATTCGCCGACGGAACGCGTTATCGCTTACGCTCCGCGTCGACCTTACACGCATTCACGAATTTCTCTTTTTCCCTGCCGTCGCCCATTGAAATCACGGGAGAAGCGGTTCGCGGAAATCAAAGTTGAATGCACGTTGCAGCCCGAGTCAGAGATTAATGAAATTAAGACAAATGCAACGTTTTTCGTCGATCGAGCGATCCCTGGGAATTCCTGCCGAATTACCTGGCCTGATTTGGAACCGCTGTCTTTCTTTGCTCGCTCTGACGGAAGGAAAGGGAGAGCTGGAAAAAAGAAACGGTAGAGAAATACACGCGCGTCTCGCGTGAAGTTGTGTCGAGCGTGGATTGTTCGATCCCGCAATTCGATATCGCACGACAAACACATATGTATGCGCACACTTACGGCGGGATTAACGATCAGACAAATAACGCATCGTCCGATATTCGTCGTCCGGCAACAGGTTACAGAGAGAAAGAGAGAGAGAGAGAGCTCGTAGTACACCGCTACGAGCGGATCTAACCGATGGATAGTCACGCTACTGGCTACTGGCGAAAATCCACGAGCATCCTTCCTCCCTCTCGACGCTTTTCCTCTGTACGCTCCGAAAGAGCCTGCGCGCAGGACACGGATGGTCCATCACGGTATTGGCGCATCTGCTCGCATTGAATATCACGAATCAAGTGTGTACTCGCCACTTCGAATGACGTTCGCCTCTCGTTATTAGCCATTAATGAGCATCGCGAGCATCGTAAGATTATGAACAAGCAGAGTAACGTGCGCAAAATTTCACCTTTATTTCACCACATTCTTCTCGTCTCGACGAGACTTCTCGCGATAGTGAGCGTTTGATCACACTCGGCTTGCAAAATAAGTATTTTTCATGTTTTTGCACGCACAAGTGTCCGCGCTAGCAGTGAGAAAATATTGACGATCGTTCCTCTCGTAGTGAAAACTATTGTATAATGTAAATTAAATCACCGCGCTGAATTTCTCTCGCTGTTGTATTATTTACCATGATATCTCGCTCAACTGTGTCAACCGGTAAACCGGAGAAATTGGAACGTTTATCGCGCCGGGGAAATGGGAACTCGGGAGAAATAGGAGGGAATATTTTCTGCTTTCTCATACCACGAGTTCGTAGCATATCCACCGTTGACCAGGGAATCGTCCCGGAAATTTACGCGCACGCTTCACCGCAGGAAGGAATTTTACGGGCGAAATAAAAAGCGGAAAGGAAAACACCGCGGGGTGACGATTAACGTTTAGACTCGGAACTCGATTTCCCGCTACGCGACAACAGTGCTCTCAACCAGCCTCTCTCGTGGCAAAACACTATCGTAGACAGCGACAGTCCTACTAGCAGGGTGAAAAAGGACGTCTGCAGATCGGACAAGCTGAACGCCACGAAACGGTCCGCTTTGTTCTCCTGCCGTTTGGCCAGTAGCTTCTTTTTCACGACGGTGCGTTGAATGGTGCGGCTGGTCCACAGAGTCGGCAAGCCGGCTTGATTCAGTCGAGCGATCAGCGTATTTATCTTTTCGCGTAGAATCGAATTCCTGGGCAGCAGATAGGACAGATAGTACGTACCTAGCGTGTACGTACGTGGCGTCGTTAAAACACGTGTGCGAGAGCGACAACGTTCGAGCTGCAACATTCGTACCTGGACATTCCTTAACGAGATGAAGCATCGGCGAGCCGTCCGTGTTGACCAGCTCCTCGTTCAAGATGGAGAAATGATGTTTCCTCATCAGCCCCGAGACGTTGCGATAATAGGCCGCGTTTATCACAGCGTTATAGCCGTGTTGCAGCTTCCGTTTCAGGCTCTGTATGAGCGGCGTCGCGTCCGTGTCCTTCTTAAGGCCGAAGATATCGCTCACGCCGAAGGAGGTGAACAGTATCGGCAATCCCGAGGCTTCCAGGTCTTCGAGACTGTCGATGTCCCGGTAATACATGTCGTTCGCGAAACTCTTGTACAGCATACCATTAAAGAACCCGACTATGGTGATGTTGCCGAGGAAGATGCCCGACAGTAATATCCTCTCGGCATTCGAGTACGGTAACTTCTGCGGGCAGCCGCAGTTGAATAGAAACGACCGATAGACGGTCGTGAGGAAACTGACCCTGCCGGTTCTGAAAGTAAGCGGCGAAAATAATCGTGATCAATTCGAGAGACCGTCATGAGCTTACCTTCGTGGATTGAAGACCTGCAACAAGTGCCACGTGATATACGTGAGGACGTGAGACAGCATCGAGAAGATCCAAATCGAAAGCGGAAAGAAATGGTATATTCGAAGCCACTTGGGTATCTTGGACGCTTTCGGCACAATCACGCATACTCTGTCGAACTCCACCTGTGCGGTAAATTCGATCAGCATGTTCTTGTAGGGGCTGTACCTCTTCACGAAGAAGGACTCGAAGCAGACGTCCGTTCTGCCGTACACCACGTCACCTGCGCAACCCGGCTGTGTATCGTCGAAATATTCGTCGAAAAACGCAAAAGGAGGAAAGACGGAAGGAGAAACGCGTTACATCAGTACCTATAGCACCGATGTACGTCCCGTTGGGCAATTGGTAACCGAACGACCTGTTGTCCGTCGGGTGTACCCGTTTCGCGGTGAAATTCATCTGTCTGGCCACTATATCTAATATTGTCTCGTCGAAGCCTTTGAAAATATTGGAATAATCGTACTGCATGCTGACCGGCTGCATAACCGAGCTGCTCATCATATTCGCGATTGAGTGGTTTCCCTCAAATATACCCACTTTCAGCTCGTATCCATTGAGATTTCTGGTGCAGCGGTACGTTAAATTCGACGAACGCGCCGTCGTGTTTACGCTCACAACATCGATCCCGCCCCAGGCTGAAAATCAAACGAATTCAGTACGCATCATTCGCGCATCTCCGCATTGATATGCGGAAGGTACAGAAGACTCGATTATTGTACGGTCTCATCCCCTGCATGTGATGATGTGGAAAATTTCCATTCATCATTTTTTAATATCGTGATCGCTACTTTGGAACATCGTTACCAATTTATTAAATAATCAGCAGTCATGACGCGCGAATATTCGGATATCAATTCGCCCGATTAGAGATATTCGATGGCACCATGCCCAGGGAATGGGATTGCATTAATGGAATCTTCCGTACGAATCGATACTAGTGCTGTCGATTTCGTTTACTCGGGTACTCGATCAATCCCTCGGAATTATTTATTTATTTAACGAGAATACGTATTTTTAATACATGTAAAAGGACATATTGCGAGCGTGCCTAGATGCGTATACGTGCTTACCAGCAAACGCGATCGCGCAAACAAGATAAATAAAAACATAATAATTTTATTGTCGGTCTAACGGCACAGACGCGGTAGATTTTCGGCAGAAATCCTTTTAAAAGAATTTAACGACTGGCAGAAAAAGTCAAAAGAATTAACCCTAATTAAGGTAGTGTCGACTTGTCCGCGCGATAGGATTAGCATTATGCAAATTGGTTCTAAAAAAGTGAAACCGAAACAATTGAACAATTCGAAAAGGTCTGTAGGACAAGAATTAAAGTTGACTATTGAGAGTAAAGTAGAACAATCGGAGCTGCCCTTTAGGATGTTACAAAGAAAATAAGCATCGGCCATAAACGCCTGCGACAGTCCAATGTTTTAAGATTCAGCAATCGTAAATACCGAGAATTATCCGTGAGTATTAACAAATATTGACAAATATCATTAAATATGAAAAGTAAATATTAACATTATTATTATCACTTTAATGTTATCTCTTAATATTGTTATTATATTATTATTAAATATTACTAAAACAAATGTTATCAACGAAATATAAACGAATGTATTACAGACTTACGCAACTACTTATTCTTTACTATTTTTTGGTTGCCGAGATAACAATGCCGTGAATAACGGTGCCCGGATATCCAGGTGATCCCGAAAGATTCCTAACCCGCAGGTATTACCTTTGAAATATCCGGATTATACCGACAGCACTAATAATCGATGCGCGAACACGATGACGAGCTTCGTGAATTCGCGCGATTCACGATACAGGATGCACGATCTACGAACCAGAATCGTTGACTTTGGCGAACGGGTTGTAAGTGCTCACGAATCGATTGATTCGGCTCGTGCCGTTCACGAGGACTCCGTCGGAGACGAAGATGTTGTAGACCTTACGTTCGTACCATAGCGTCCTGAGGATATCCTCGATACTTACACCCGGCTCGTTTCCCCGTTCCCCTTGATCTTTCTTTCGATGTACGATCAGCACGATACACCGATCTCGCGGATTCCACTCGAACATCTCGTTCCGCAAGATCCGGTGGAAGGAGCGAACGTCTCTCGCGAGAATCACGTGCACGTTCCACGTATTTCGTTCATGCGGAGGATCTTTCTGGTCGTTCTGTGGCGATATTCCTTTAATCATCGGCCGCGTTACGAGCGCGTCCGCGGAGGACGTGATCCTCCAAATCGACGACCGGTTCGCGCTGCCACGCACCGCGTCTTCGTCGTCGATGAAGGATTCATCTCCGGACCGGTAAGCCCTCGATAGGATTGTCATCTCGCACTTCCGCGCGACCACGAGCACCAGTTCGTCGAAGCATCGCGACACGACAGTGGAATTTTGCCGGTCATGCACACGGTGGAAATTCACGGTCTTGCAGTTTTCCATCGAGCAGATGACGTCGCTCCAGAATCCGACCGCCTGGCTCCATCGGCAATCACCGGCTACCGATATTACGCGCAGTAACAGCGATGCTACGAGGATGAGTTCGTGCGTTGGCTGGAAATACGATAATCGTGAATTTGATTTTGACGCAAACCAAGAGCGCGCGTGTAAAAATATCGCTCGCGCGTTTTCTCTCCTACATACACATGTACATATTTATTTTTTATTTATACACACACACACACACACATGTGGTACACATCACATACCATGTTTTGCGAACGTCAACGCGAGTGCTCCCTTATTTACACTGGATCTGCCGAAATTCCTCATCGTCGCATTCCTGTTCATTGTACGTGCGTCACGCAACGTACGCTAATTGGTCAACATCGCTCACCCTTATCGTGTTACCCTTACCGCGCGTTATCTTCTTTCTCACTCAGTCACGTTGGGCTCGCGTGTATCTTCAATCGTGAGATCGACTCTCCAGATTGTGGCTCGATAAACGACCGGATAAAGGTAAATCCACCTGCCGTCAGCGTAAATCATCCGTCATTCTCGATTAGCGCTTAATCGTTGCTCCTGTACGCATGACTCGTTCGTCCCTTTTCTCCTCCCTCTCCGCTGAAACGTTTCTGCAGAAAGGATTCCACCGGAATGGATTATCGTTCTGAGTAAAGACGTTTTACACGACGAATCGTCATTAGCGAGGGCGAATACGCGCGGTAACGAAGAATCGTAGAAGGTGGGTAACACCGTTGTTCTCATCGCGATATTTGATATGCGGGGTGAGTTCTAATAATATTAGCACACCTTATCTCTTTTTTCTCTCCGACGACCGTGTTTGTCGGTGTGCAAATCGTTGCTCGCCAACCGAGCCTTTAACTTAATGACATGTCGGGAGGCTGACGTTTACGAGGGGAAGCAAACGTTTGCCTCCGTTTATTCGGGGTAAACATTAGAAAGTAGGAGAGAGGAGAATATAAAGCAGCAACGAAACGACGTTTCCAGGTAGAAGGTGAGCGGAATCGCGCAGGTCTAACGCGAAGAGTTGAAGTCACTTGGTCGGTTTTAATCGTTCTCTCGCTCGCTTGTGTATCTTCACGTTTGTTCTTCGCGTTTATCTTTATCAGCCGCACGTAAACGCTCTCTATCTCTCTCTCTCTCTCCTGCAAATCACGGTATAAAAATCAACGCGTGCAGGAAAGGGGATACGGAATATCCCGAGGAAAATCGAACGGAAGCTCGCGCGGTCTGCAGTTTTCTTACTTGCTAAAACAACTTGAACGTCCGTCGGATGAGCGCAGGATTCACCGGCTTATTTATCAATTTCCCGCAACAATGTCCATTATCACCTTCCTGGTGTTAACATTGTGACGCACGGTGGCTGAATATCGATTGAGTGGCGGGGAGCAGAGGTGCACCGACGAATTGCTGGGAGGAACGCGACGCGATCACGTCACTTCGCAAACTCGATTTTAACGTTTCCCGAGCCGAGACGAATGATTTACGGCGCTCTTCCGTTTCCCCGACAAGGCATCGATCTAACGTGACGATCAGCATATGCCGTCTGATCGTGAGAATGCAATGAAATTGCAGCTTGAAACGGCGCGTCCTCGCTTGACGTACGCTTTTATCTAGCCTCGTCGTAGAGGGACACGCGCGAGATTCCTATCTAATCGAGACACGCGATCCTTAACTACGTCCGCGCGTTCACCGGTATCTATATAAAGTTGACGCGTATTTTCGCCTTTCAATAGGCGGCCTTTACCGCTATCGATCAAGTGAATCGAGCAGCAGTAACGTCCGTCTTCGACTGCTCGTAATGTCACCGGCGGCGTCGCTTTGCTTATTAATATCGATGTCGATGTTGACGTCGGCCGTGAGGAACGCGTCGAGACGCAGGATCGCGATCGTGAGGAGCGACGCGTCCACCCGGGCGGAGAGTGAAAATCTCCGGATCATTCTGAATTACGTTCGGGACGAGCAACGAGTGTCGAATCTGGCGACGGTCTCCCTCGTGTACTTGAACGCGCACTCCGACCTGGTGGACCTCGTGTCCGCGTACGTGACGAGCGAGTCGATCGTCAGCTACAAGATCACGACGAGCAACCTGTCGCGGAAATGCGCGTGGCAGAATCGCATGGACCTCACGTGGATCTTGATCGTCGACGATCTCGAGCTCCTGAATTCCTTCGTGCGCGAGCAGAGCCACATCTGGAAGGCCAGCAATCAGTACCTGATCATCATCACCGCGGCCGTCTCGACGGAGCTGCGAGAGATCTTCCAGAGAGTTTGGAGGAGCTACAGCGTCCACCGGATCGTCACTGTCTCGGTTCGGGAGGAGTTTCGATGCTTGAGCAGGTACCTGCCGTTCGAGAAGAACCAACGGAGCGAGTACGGCGTGGTGCGCAAGGTTTGCCCGCTGGACCGGTGGGATCGCGTGGAGCTTTACGACAGGCTCGAGAACCTGAACGGTTATCCGATACGCGTGATCGTGTTTAACTCTCTGATGATGGACATCGTGTTCGACGAGAACACGAAGAATGCCACCGCGTACAGGAGGCTGGACGCGGACGTGATGTTCCTGCTGGAGGAGACGATGGGGGCGAGATTCCTCATCGAGGTGATACCGGACTCCTCCAAGGGGGACCCCTTTCATCTCTCCCTTCGGTACGTCGAGAACGGCGAGTCGGACTTGATCGTCACCAGCTTCTTCGTCACAACGTACAAGGAGTTTCATAGGTTCGAGTTCACCGTCAGCCTCTACGACGACCGGCTGTGCCTGATCGCGCCCGCGGCCGGCTTCCTGCCGAAATCGTACATGCCGATATTGCCGTTCACGTTCGATATGTGGACAACCCTCGCGGTGTACAACCTCCTCGTATCCGTCCTGTGGTTTCTCATCAGTTACTACAGCCTCTCCTTTCGCCGGCGGGAGGCTGTCCTGCTGCCATTAATGGCTGAGAGGAGACCGGCAATAAGGAGCCTCGTCGTGGCGTCGACGTCGCGGCATTTACCGGACTCACCGCCGAGAGTAAATCCCTACGTCTTGTCGTGCTTCGACCTCGTCGAGACGTGGTGCTACCCGTTGAAGGAGGACAGCGCCGGTGGCGGCACGACTGCTCAGCGAGCCCTTCTCTTCGGCACCCTCTTCTTCGGCCTCATCGTCACCGGCCTCTATCAGAGCTGCCTGGTGTCCAGCTTGAGCAACCCCTTTCATTACCCCGAGCTGACCACTCTGGAGGACGTGGCTAACTCCAATCTCACGATAATCACCAAGTACGAGAACCTGAAGGAGAACACGTTCACGGAGAACACCACCTTGGCCAACAGGCTGAAAGAGAAGCTGGAGGTGATTTCCTACCCGAAGGCCACCAACGACTTGGTGGCCTTCGACAGGAACGTAACCGCCCTCGGCCGTTACGCGTCGGTCAAGCTGGACAATCTGTCCATGTATTTCGACGAGGAGGGCAACGAGCTGCTTCACATAGTCGAAGAATGCTCGACCATGAATTTATTGTCCTACGTCGTGCGACTTCACTCGCCGTATCGGGAGAGAATCAACAGCCTGCTCTTGCAAATGCAGGAGGCGGGCCTCGTCGAGCTGTGGTACAGGAACATGACGTATCCGATCTATGCGGACGAGCAGCGGAGAAAAATGGCGAAGAGCAGCAGGAGGATCAAATTAACCCTGGAGCATTACTCCCTGACGTTCCTCGGGCTCTCGCTCGGCTTGCTTCTCTGCGCGATCGTGTTCCTGGCCGAACTCTATTTCGCCAATCGACCGCCGTCGGAAAACGCCCGCAAATTTCGCCCGTGATATTGCGCAGCGGAGATGGTATATCGGTTTTCTTTTTTCCACATAGAGCGACAGCTCGTTTTCCGGCGATCCGCTGTTTATCGGCTCTCGTCGATAATTAACCAAAGCTCGCTACTCCGTCCTTTTTTTTTTAAAGACGGAGTGCCTCGTATCTGATCAATTGGCTCGATATCGTGCGTTCTCGCGTGACGATGCTGGATTTAGCCGCGATGATTCGACCGCGATCAACAGCTGTTCCAATTCGCAGCGCTCGAGTTTGATTAATTGAGCGTAATAGAGGGGCTATTCGTGCCTTCTCTGACATCGATCGATCGGAACCCTTCTGTCCGCGCGATACATAATTATTTGAAAACAACGGGTCGAGTTAGCGCGAGTTAGCGCGAAAGTGACATTCCGAGGAGAAACGGGGGTTTATTTTAAGAATCTACGAAAATACGCGCACACGCATCTACGTGTCCCGAGAAGAAGAAGAAGAGGAAGAAGAGAGGCTCAGTCGCGAGTCGTTGCTCGATCGCAGAATCATGGCTTCCCGAAGATACATGCCATTGGCAGCGATTCTGATAACTATATGTTTAGGTACGTGCGCAATTCTCACCTTGGTCGAAGCTATGAAACGTAAATATAGGTGTGTCTGATTCATAGATATATCATCCGTCGTCGTCAACGTCGTCGCTGCTGCGGTCGTGTGGGATCCGAGAACGTCTAGGCGAGTATTATTATTATTATTGGAACTTCAATTCTCTAAAGCGCGATATTCCTCGCGCGAACTCTCGGTCTTACGTACGTAAAGATGCGACATAATCGTTCGATACAATTGTGCGTTGCGTTTGACGGCAGGTACGACAGTTACAACTTGGACAAAGGACCTGTATTTTACGAGGCGTATTACCCAGACGCTCAGGATGCTTATCACGAGAAACGTTATTTCGACCGGAGCACCGTGTTGGAGACAAGCTTTCAAGTACCCTCCGAACGTTTCGCGTACTCGGCCGAGAGCGCGGATGTCTCGAACGACGACGAGTCGTCGTACGTCGCGGCGGACGACGAGGAACAACGGAAAGTCGTCGCGGGACGCAATCTCGCGCCCTTCCAGGATCGACGCTCGATACTGCTGGAGGACGGAAGCTCTCCGGCGGCGAATATCGGAGAAATCTCCAAGCTCGTTAGAAGAGCGATCTCCCGAGACCTTGAGAACTGGAACGCCCTCGAGAGATACCTCGACCGCGTCGGTCAGTCGGAGATACCTCGGAGGACGGAGGAGGTACGTTTCAGGGAGAGCCGGAAAAATAAGGAGGACGATAGTAGTTATCAGGTGAACCGACTTAATTACGACTCGTCGAGACAGCCGAGTCTCGGGGTGTTACGGAATTTGGAGGCGCGTGACGTGAAAGTACGGCCCGCTCACTTGGAGAAAGCGCTGAACGGCGGCGCGCCGATCGTCTCCATCGACTCGTTACCTCTGGAGAACATCTTCCAACCGCGGCCCCAAATCATCAAATACACATTCCTCAGGAAGGCTACCACGCGGCTAGACGAGCCGAGCAAGGAAGCGATCGACAGCACCACACCGCGGAATTACGGCGACAATCTCATCCGCGAAGAGATCGCCAACGGCAGCCGCGACGTCAAAGTGACGTCCATCCAAGTGAGCGAGCTGCCGCGGCACAAGACCCGCCATCATCACGGTGAATTGCCCAAACGAGATTACACCGCTCATCGGCATCGCTCGGCCGCCGATCATCCGGTCGTCCAATAGAAAGTAACGAGACGACTGTCGAACGAAAACGCAGTCCAGCGGGATCGTATTTATACGTGTTAATTCGATTAACTTCGTGTCGCGTTTTCGCCGTTTATTTCATAACGATAATAGAGGTCGTACACACTATATCTTTAAACTCTATTTATTAAATATATTATTTAATATACACATGCAACAATATCATATATTCTCTATAATACATGTAGCTACAATAAAACGGCTTTCCCCGCGGCCCCCATACCAAAGATTTGTCAGTTGAAAGGGCGTTAACGCTGATCTTAATTAAAGACATTTTTCCCCCTATGATGTGGCATTTTTATAACACCTAAAGGGAGAAGGGCGAATTCAAGTTAGTCCATCGCGCGTATGTCTGACTAACATTTCAATCTCGACACTTCTCTATATATATTAGTTGGAGATATATTCGCGACTTTATATAAATATATACATATTATGTATCTCGCGAGTATGTAATATCCAAATATCGATTCTAGAGACAACTCGAGAAATAAAATGAACAGTTAAATGCTTCAAATCTCACACATGATAGAGCAAGCGCGTATTTACTCGGAGATTTTCGGAAACATCTTCCTTCTCTTTGCGATCCTAATTCTAATAAGAAAATAATAAGCTCTTATCGACAGTAAATACAGATTCCACATATCGGATGGAATGTATGTATGATCCTTTCTATGATCTTAATTCTAAGTACTGTGTGAGCGTCCGCGTATGAAATTTAATTACTACCGTGATGTAAATCAGAAAAACTATATATTACACGTTTTGTATATTTAACACGAAGGTAAGTACCTCGAATATTCGATAAGTAGCCTACTCTATTGGAACACAACCTTTTTTGGTGAATAGTCTCAGTTAACTACGTCTACGTTATTATGTTTACTTCGTTTGGTTAATTCGGTATTAAGCTTAACACGTTACATCCTAAAAAGTCTTCCTACATTCTCCCGCCATGTCGCACGATGCGAAGCAACAGTCGTAACCAACGTTAATGTTGGAAAAGAATTCAACGATTATCCCGTTATGTGTTGTTTGAACGAAGAATATACAACAGATATGAATATGTGCGAATGAGTTAGAATCTTTTTTTTGAAGCCAACGAAAGACGAGTTTGACAAGTATGATCGAGACAGAATGAGAAGACAGATATCAATGATTGTGATTATGCGCTCCAGTAAACCGATACACATTGTCGAGAAACGTAATCGATCATGTGCCGTGTCCAGATTCGCAACGAGAATAATCCAAGGATCCATTGAATTTCGAGTTTCGATTAACTCGTCTCGTCTGGAAAATGTTATTCGATATAGATAACATGCTTTTATCTATCGCGTAAGAAATGTACAGTTTTCTTCGTATACGCAGATTATCGCATACGCAGCTCTGATAACCATATCATCACTCATGCAATCACAGTGTAGATGTTTGTGATAAAAATATTTTCATGTTACAATAAGAAAATAAGATATGAGATACTTTAAAGTAGAGACGCGTTTGAATCACCTGTCTTACAATGTGGATGAAGACGAACACGTATAAAGCTGCGTAAAGTTTCATATGCTTTTTCCAAATCGTCATTTTCTATGATAATATCAAAGTTACCTGGTGTCTCGCCTGTAAGAAAGTAAAAGTTATTGCAACATTAAGAATATTACAATGTTTCCTATAATGTCAATTGAAACATACCATATTCCATTTCGGCTTTGGCAACTGATAATCTGCGTTCCAATGATTCCTCAGTTTCTGTGTTTCTAAACTTTAATCGTCGCTCCAACTCCGCAATGGACGGTGGTTTTACAAATACATAAAGGGGATCAAGATGAGAAGTGCGTTTGATTTGTTTCACTCCTTGTATGTCAATGTCTAACACACATACCTTTCCTAGGCTTCGCACATCTTCAACTGCTCGTTTACTGTAATATGGAATGGAATACAGAATGGAATTACATATGTACACATCATAGTATTATAATAATACTTATAATATTCGCATCGATTTTCCTCTTATACCTAGTCCCATATAAATTCCCACTGAATGTTGCAGATTCAATAAATTCACCATTCTTGATTTGTTCTTGCATCTTTTCTTTATCCGTAAAGTGGTAATGAGTACCATTTTCTTCACCAGGCCGAGGAGCTCTGGTCGTGTGGGAAACCGAGAATTTGAAGGTATCAGGATATTCGTCGAACAGCCGCTTTATTAAAGTACTTTTCCCACTGCCGGAAGGACCGCACAGTACCAACGGACGTGGTCCTTTATGAATCATGCTGAGGCAACCTGAAAATTGATCAAACACTTTTCATTCTTAACCAAATTAGGAGTTTTTAAGTGACTAAGTTTGTTCTTAACGTATATTATTTCTTTGTTATATCGTTGGGTCAATCAAAATTGTTATATTATATTATATCATGAGGTGAAAATTGTGGGTCCCGCATACCTATCTTTAATGTCCTAAAGTACTGTGCGAACATCGCGATTAAAATGCCGACAGTCCAAAACTACTCATTTCAAAATGCCGGTGACGAGAATATAATAAGCATGCGATGTCAAAACGCTCAATTGAGATTATTCTTCATGTGCAGTGAATGACGAAAAATATTTAATATTTCTCTCAACGAATATATCACCGCAATGTAAAATTAACATTCGTTACATGCGCCAGATTATGTTAAGGTTATCGATTATTACCGACGTTTTCTCACGATTGGCAGGTTCAATATTAGCAATTCGATCCTAACTACGCAATAACGAACACGGACAATTGAAGTAATCGTGTCAATCGCGTTGTAACAATGTAAACGACACAGCCGGAATACTAACTAATCAACATTGTCGAGTGTACTCGAGTATACACGAGGAAATAACGTTCGTTACCTTTATATTTCCTAGAGATAACAAACGATCGCAGCTGCAAAGCAAAATGCGAGTGATATTAGACACAAGATTCAAATAAAATCTAATGTGGACAATGAATCGGCGGATGCATAAATACGCGAGATATAAAACCAGATACCGGGATTGTGATTGTATCGATAAATATATTAATAAATATAGAAATTTATATACACAACGTGTCAACCGAGATGGAGACACGACACGCTAATGGAGGATTTACATTGCATCCGTTGTCTGATTTACCCGTTGAGTCGTTTTATTCGGGAGAAAAATGACGCCTGATCTATTGTTGAGGCACACTACCCGATCTCGGATCTTCATTGAAAACGGTGGCGGCTCTTAGCGGAGCCTTCAGAACTAATTTTTACGTCTTTAGACGAGACTCGAACCAATTTAGCCGCGACTCAAACCACTTGAAGATTTACCGCAAAATCGTTAAAGAGCGTAAAGATTCCGTTAAATCGCGTTTCGACATTTAAGATCTCATTTTGAGCGTTGCGTCTTATCAATTTCAATATTTCTCAAAATACTCCCCTCAAAATAACCATCCTCGATTTCCGTTAACAAATCGAGATCGTGATACGATTCAATGGCATGTCTCAGGCAGATTTTTATTTTTCAAATAATATGAACAAGTCAGGTTAACTTTTATATATATAAGTAGTATGATTCAACAAGAAGTAAGTTGTACGACAATAATTTTATCCTCGAGTGCGCACGAAGATTTCTCGCAAACTGCTTAAAATTACAATTACAAATTTAGGCGGAAATATAAGACATTTATTCGGTATACATTTAGTTAAAAAATGAGTTCAAGTTACATTGCACGGATAAAATACTACGCGTAATACAATCAATTCTCTTTTTTTCCGTTTTTTTTCCAATATTTAAATCATTGAATCTTACTTGATCTTATTTCTCGACGTGATTACTTCGAACATATCTGTCACACTATAAATCTGCGATGAGAAATATAATGACTCAATGTAAAAAAAAATGAATCCGAAATCTAAAGGAATCAAAATACAACATTCCGATTGTTATTGATCGGAATTATTTGCACCCTGCTTCCACTCCATGGCAACACGTGATAAATGTAGGCGCACACATGTCTCTGTATTTATGTACGTGTTACGCGAAGCATGCATGCCCGCACATGCTTCTGCACGTATGGCTCTGTACATTAAACGCAATCAAAAACTATAAATAAATATCACATTTGACTCGCTGTCATCACACTGTTCCGTCACACACTCTCTATAACGATATTAAGGTAATCAACGGACATCTTTCCCTAAACTACTTCCGCTTGTACTTGAAACGACTTTGTTATCCTATGCATTTGCATCGGCAAATTTCGGGATAAAGCTGAAATCTGTCGTCATATATATATTCTTGTATATCAAATTTAAACAGCAGTGGGACCGGTGGGTTTGCCTTGTGTTCTACGACGTGCCAATTCCGACATGATCACAGGACCAATGTGCGGCGATCTTGGATTGCTCGACATTGCTCTGTACGTCGCTGCCACTGCCATCTGAAACGCAACACACTGTGTTGACTCGTCGCAATTGCTGTGCATCAGCCGATTTATCGCGAATAAACCGCTGTAATGAATACATTACCTTCAGATTGTGCGGATCCTCGATGACGTCCGGTAATACTTTTTGCGGGATGCGGTGCCGATTCATAATCCACGGATATTTCAAGATGAGGGCCGCGGTAGGCCTTCGATTGGGGTCCACGTGCAACATTCGTTTGACTAGTTCTTTAGCTTCGCCTGAGATGTGACACCATATTCCGCTTTCCACATCTATGTATCCCGGCCCGATGCGGTCTAATATATCGCTCGCGCTGTCTCCCGGGCTGTTACGGAAAGGCGTGTACCTGAAAAAGCGTGGTAAAATAGCGCGATAAAGTAAAATATTCTCTAGCCACGATTGATCGTGCACAACAATTAGTTGCCACGAAGCTTTTCGTTACCCGGCCAACATGATGTACAGCAGGACTCCGAGCGACCAAATATCGCACGCCGCGTCGTATCCCTGGCGTTTCAACACTTCCGGCGCCACGAAATTCGCGGTGTAGCACGGTGTCATCAGCAAACCATTTTCCGCCCGTAATTGCTTCGCAAAGCCGAGATCACATATGCAGAGCGTCGTTGGATCTCCGCCAGGTTTCGCGTACAGGATGTTCGACGGCTTCAAGTCTCTATGAACCACCTGTTGATATTTTTTTTTCCCTTTTTCAACGCAAGGATATTTTTAACGACGACATTTTTATCGCGGATAAAACGCGCAAAGATGCACAGACTGCGTGTCGCAAAATGTGTATCACGCTGGAAATTACGCTTACCCCGTTCTCGTGAAGATAATGCACGACACTGGTGATGGTGTAAATCACTTCGGCGGCTTCCCGCTCCGTAAAATTTCGTCTCTGTAGCAAGCGATCGAGGAGCTCGCCGCCACGCAGAAGCTCCAATACGAGATACACCCGCTTATCGTCCTCGTGGACAGATCTCAATGTTACGATGTGGGGATGCCTGCCGTACCGTAAGAGAATTTCTATCTCCTCCGTCGGGTCTCGTTTCATTTTGTCAATCACCTGTTTTTTCGCAGGAGAGTTTAGCGATTTATAGAAAATTCTCTCCTCTCACTACTCTGCACGTACGTTTAGAGGATGCGTTCTTGCTCACGGGCAACTTTGTACATCCAGATGTACATGAAAAAAAAAAATGAAAAGAAAAGAAAGGGCTGATTACCTTCACAGCATACTCCATCTTGGATGCTAAATGGATGGCTAGGTAAACTACGCTGTAACTTCCTTTGCCAATTTCATGCTTAAATTCGTACTCATCCGTTATAGAAGCGGGATTGACATACGACGGCAAAGTTGCGCTGATGCTTTTGACGGGATTAACGTAAGATGGAAAAGCAGTGCTGTCGCAATTTTTACAGTCCAGAGACTGGGTGTGTTCGGCGTCCGCGAGCAGGCACGGTGCTACGAAGCTGAATCCGCGAAATAATTCGTGGGCGTTCGCGCTCGGCGGTATTCCCGGAGAATCTGAAAGAAACATCTCCGATAAAGGCACCGTGCGCATAAATCTGCGCGAAAGACGGGATTCGCCGAATTATTATTGATTTGTATCTACTACATTGTTCTTTCTTTCTCTTCCGTCTTTAAGAAGAAGCGATCACCTTTAGGTGTTTTACAGGTAAATTCACTGTCAAAGGCGGTCGCGTCGTCCTCCTGACTAACAGCTGGTTTAAACGGTGGTCGTATCTCCTTCTTATAAAGAGCATCCCAATCGATAGTAGCAAAGAAAATATGGTTTTTAATTTCTTGCACGCCACCTAAAAGTGAGGAAATGTTGAAATAAGGACAACTATTTGCGTGTGCATCATGCGCGCACATACGTGCACAATTTTAAATTTATTGTTGCATGTATTATAATATATGATACAAGTGTTACATTACCCGAGCCAAGACGGTTTGATGGGGTTCTCTTAAATAATACCCTCAGAAGTGCCTGCGCCTCTGTTGAAATATTGTGCGGCATTCCGAGCTTGGCTTTCAAAATTTGCGCCATTGTCTCTTGACGATTTGCGCCTTGAAATGGGAGTGCGCCTGTCAGCATTTCAAACTGGGAAAAGCATCGAAAGTAATATTTAAATTCTTATTTACAGTCCATTGTTATCGCGTAATCTTCCTTGCGTTTCTGAATGAACATGTAAAATCTGACCATTAAAACACCAAAGCTCCACCAGTCTGCCGTAAAGGAATGTCCTTTTCTGTTGACGACTTCAGGTGCCATATATTCAACAGTGCCGCAAAATGAGTACGTGTATGAATCGTCCAAAGGCTGTTTGCTCAAGCCAAAATCTGTTAAAGCTATGTGGCCTTCGGTATCTAGCAAAATGCTATCACGTAAGAAATACATGAGAGATTAATGTAATATACTGATAACGAATGCTTATTAAATAATCAATGTCAGCAATACAAACTTTTCAGGCTTGAGATCTCGATAAATAACTCCAAGACTGTGTATATGATCTAAAGCGAGCGCTAGTTCAGCTAAATAGAATTTAACATCTTCTTCTGTAAACATCACCTAAAACATTAATTATACCAATACAAATTATACAAGATGTATATATATTGATTTGGACAATTATCTATCGTAATAGTTCATTCGTGATAGATAACATTATGCTTTTTTTCATACTTTTTCAATAATACAAATTGTCTGATAAGAACTACCTCTTTGGATAATCTCGAGAAAAGGTCACCTCCTCTTAGGAAATCAAGAATTAAATATAACTTTCCTTCTGTTTGAAATGCATAATGCAGTCTGACAATGAACGGATGTTCCACATCCACTAATATATTTCTCTCCATTTGAGTTCTCTCTCTGTCACGAACTAAAAGGAATAAAAAATAAGTAATTAATAAACAAAACAAACATGTAGAAATTTAGAAAATTTAATATCATATTAATATACTTTTTAATGTTGCTTTCTTCAAGACCTTCATGGCATACAATGTACCACTGTCTTTTCCAACAACTTTTCTTACTAAAAATACCTGTAAACGTATGGAAAATAAGATAAAATACAACATATCAATTCTGATATTATAAGGAATATGTTTAAATTCACATATACTCATATATTACACACAACATGCACGTATTTTATACGCCATTCTTACCTTGCCAAAGGAACCTTGGCCAAGAACTTTCAGTAACTCAAAATGAGAAGGTTCTGCTTTCTCATGACCATCTCGTACCATATCACGTACCTCGATTTCATGAGACTCTGAACAACTATTTGATTTTTCAATTAAATTCCCTTGAGTAATCATTGTTTCCTCTTGATTTTCAGCCGGAAGAATATCTGTACTTTGCTAAAAAAAAAAAAGATAAAAAGCAAGTGAGAGGAAATTAAAATGATGAAACACATGGGATGAATGAAACAGGCATACACATGTATCTGATAATATAAAGATCTTTTCATCTTTCTCAGTAGAAACAACTCCTTAAATATCGAGAGAAAATGATGAAAATGTTACCTTCTCATTTACGAGATGCTCGGTCCAGGGAGCCGTTAGATTTGCCAACGGCATTATATTCAAAGTTCTGTTTATTTTCGAAATTGCAAGCGTTTTCTTAGTGTATTTATCAAATTACTATCGACATGTACCAGCATTTAGCCTTTTTTTGCAAAAGATAAATTTATCAATTATTAGTTTTAATACAAATTCACAGCGAGAATTCGCGGTTAACTGCTAACCACTGATACGCATGTACACACGCATTATGTACGATCGTGTGTGCGCGCGCACACACGAGGCGCGTGAATTCTGTATGCATGCACACATAGTACATATGATACACATGTCATTTATATACACATATATAAATATCATACACACATGAACATATATATATATATATGTATGTACGTAGAGTCAGATAAGCAGAAGCAATGTATGGATTAATGACAGAGGAGGAATGAGAAGAGCCACGCCACGATCTGATGGTTCCTGATAGATCGCTGATCTGTTGCGCCATCTGCGTCAGTTGAGTCTATCTTGTCACTGAGTCGTACTACCTGAAAATGAAACACCGTCCGACATGATGTTAAGTCATATCGCGATCATCAATCGCTGTGCATTTATGCATGGTTTCTGGTAGATTTGAAATCTATCGCCAATGTTATTCTCTGTTCCTGTTGCTTAGCAATGTGAGAGGTCCTTTATTGGCTACCTTCAGCAGAGAAATCAGCTTTGCAACTGTAAAATTCATCTTAACTTGGTTGAATCAAAAAATATACACCAATCAGATTCACAAATTTTACACATTGCAAAGTTGCTTTCTTTGCTAAACGCAGCCATTGGTCGTAATGAAAGGTGTCCAACGCTGATTGGTTGTGCTGTCGATCGCGTTTGCGAACGCGCGAAAATCGCCATAATAGCAACAGTAACGTCTCGAAGCGGAGATTTTGGAAATTACATTTTAACATAACAGCTGATCCACTGATAATGCTGAAAGTGTTACGTACGTATTTTGCTTATTTAGCGTAGAACGGCACATGAAGCTAAATTTAAAAGTTTCTTGACTAAATATTGAGAGAGAGAAGAAGAAAAAGAAGAGTGTACTTTACGTGTGTGCAATTTGTGATATGTTATAATAATTTAGGTTAAACTGAGAAGAAAGAGAAATTTATCACGAAATATTTCTGGAATGAGCATACCGAAGAAATGACAAATATATCATATATACACGGATATATATCGGATATACACATTTAGCTGTAAATTGTCTTTAGAAACCTCGATATTAAGAATACATAACATTAGATTACACTGGTTGTTGCAATATTATGCAATTTCGTTTGGTGTCATTAGTGTGATTAATACAAGTTAAAGATAACATTAATATACATTCATTAATGTGTCAATTCTAATTCGAAGGTGCTTAAACATGCCATGCTGGTACTATGAAAAGAAGGAACTACGAAACACACCATCCATTCAGGATGGCATCGATTATGAGACGGAATGTAGATACAGGAAAGAAGGTGCACGTTTTATAATCGACACTGGTACAAAAATGGATCTAGGTTATAATACAATGGCAACAGGCGTCGTTTACTTTCATCGATTTTATATGTTTCACTCATTTAAGAATTTCCCGCGATATGTAAGAATATATTTATTATATAAAGAAATTATATTCTATATACTGTATACATTGTCATGTGCTATTGTGATATGTTGCAGGTAACAGCTTGCTGCTGTTTACTCTTGGCTGGTAAAGTCGAAGAAACTCCAAAGAAATGTAAAGATATCATAAAAACTGCTAAGACTTTAGTGTCTGAACAGAAATTTATGACATTTGGGGAAGATCCTAAAGTAAGTTACTTAGTTAACGAAGAAGATAGTCTATTTGATGCAAGTATCTCTATATGTCATGTCATGCACAATAGGAAGAAGTCTTAACGTTGGAGAAGATTTTATTGCAAACCATTAAATTTGATCTGCAAGTGGAACACCCATATAGCTATTTATTGAAATATGCAAAATGTCTTAAAGGTAATTTATTATGTATATATGGTAACATTTTACTATCAATACTAAATCTTCTAATCTGGAGATGATTTTCCATCTAAATCTGGATCCATTTATAGGTGATAAAAATAAGTTGCAGAAAATGGTACAGATGGCTTGGACATTTGTCAATGACAGGTATGTGATGGCAATTTAATTTGTTATTCAGTTATCGAGTAGTTGTGTTATTTTGAAATTTGACATAATGAAAACAAGTCGCCTTATATATCTATGTGTATCTTTTCCTTAATAGTTTATGTACTACTCTCTCATTGCAATGGGAGCCAGAAATCATAGCTGTTGCTCTAATGTACTTAGCTGGAAAATTAAGCAAGTTTGAAGTGTTAGACTGGGTCGGAAGACAACCGAAACATTTACGTTGGTGGGATATGTTTGTTGAAGATGTAACGATGGATCTGTTGGAAGGTAAGATTGCGCAATATTTTTCTCGATAAGTACTTTATCCGTCATTTCCATTTATCCAACATGTCGTATGCATTTCTCTAGATATTTGTCATCAAGTATTAGATTTATACTCACAAGCTAATAATACGAAACCACCTGATTCACCACCCATGATACCATCTAGTGAAGTGTGCAGAGAACGACCCATTCCTACTGCTAATGTAGAATCAGCGTCTAACACACCGAATGGTAAGTAATGATTTAGGTATGGGAGCGACTCACTTTTCCTCTCTTACTTCTTACTTAGAAACACCTCGTTTTATCTCACTTTTAAGGAAAAAGCTTTACTTTTCTCACTTTAAAGATAAAACAAAAGATTCGAAAAAAATAGAACATAACTATGACTCCGGCGACACAATGTTTATAAAATGAAGAACTATGATTTTATTTTTAAATTGTTTTCATTAAGTTTGTCAGAAAAACAATGACCGTCATGAGCACACTTGATTGTGTTTCTTTAAATTCAAATTTTCCTCCTCATTGACTTTCACTATATAGTCAAAATTGAGATACAAGTAATACAAATGATTGTTGTGCTGTAATTAAAGGATTAGTCGACCATTAAGGACTTGATTCAATATGATAAGAACTTTTAAGTTTCTACGAGTAACTGGTAAATCTTATGCGGTGACTTCTGGAACTCTTACAGTGACTCCTGGAAAATCCTCCAAGATTGAAACACCTGTAGTTTCTGCAAATGGCTGTCCACCTGCAGACGTCGCAGATACAATAAAACCAATGGACGTCCCAACGACGCATTTCCCCACCTATCCGGCAAATTTCGCGGCCTCTAACAATTCAAGTTATCCGCCAGCGTTCCCGCCTGCGAATGTTTCAGTTCCTCCTCCTCCTGTCAACACGATGAATCATATAGTGCCAACGATGCATCACATTGGATCATCAGCTGCTATTCGTCCGACACCACCAGCGGCATCGACTACGAACCAACCACCATTTCAACCGTATTCCTACCCAACAAACGCGTCGTACTTTTCAGCGAATAATCCAATTCCACCTGCCGCACCACCACGCAATTATTACCCACCGCAACCATAACGGAAGGCAATGTATTGTGCGTACGCTATAAACTGTATCTACAAAAGTATCGTTACCTTAAGTAAAGATAAATTTATTCAAATATTAAGAATTTAATTACTGTAAATTTTGTACAGATATACACGCCGTACTTTTATATTTGCTGTTGTCTCAACAATAGTTTTAAATCTCTCCTTTTTCTGCTATTACCGCAATCATTCTCTCTCTTTTCTTTTTCTGATAATATCGCTGACATACCAAAACGAAAAAAAAAAAAAGATTATGTTTAATTTGATATATATTTGATTAATTCAGATATTATTTCCGTGGGAAAATAAAACAGGATATATCACATGTAAAGATTTCCTTTACTGAAAAAATTTTCTGCAAATTTAAAATGCCGTAATTTTCCGGGTATTTCGTTGTTTAAAACCTTCAAAATTGGTTCTGCACACTTTGAATCTAGTACAAAACCATCCATGTACAATACATACAATTTAGTTGACACATTTGTAAATTCAGCATGTGACAAAACTGAAATGGATGATTAATTTTGATTTACATATTCCGTGTGTACTTGACATTCATGTTATATGTGAAACATGTACTAACCTCCTGCACCAACTCCAAATATAATGTTTGGTTGTTCTAATGTTTCAATTTTACATTCAGAAGTATCATTTGCATTTTTAGCGGTTAATATCCTTAAAAAAGAAGGATCATCTGGAATATTTGTACTCTGAAACTGTGATATGTGACGACATACTATTGCAATTGTATTCTCTGTGTTTAATAGTAAGTCAAATAGCTGTAAAGACCAAATTCATATCCTTCAGACTTGTAAAATATATACTATAAGATTATTTTATATATTTATGTATGTATATATGTATATACACATTATGAGAATTATCAAAGTACGTACCTCATTTATAAGTATCCCTGCATCTTTGGTATTAAACTGTGGTAAAATAATGCACAGATACAGTTGTTTGTCCATTTCGTAAATAGCAGAAACTTTCTTGTCATTTTTATTCTTTATGACACAAGCTTCTTCAACTTTGTGACATAAACATTGTTCTGCAAAGGCTGAAATGTGACAAATATAAAAATACATACCAACAGTTAATTTAAAATATTAATGTTAGGACAAATTGTATTACGTATCAATGGTTCTCCTTCGATTATGATGAACTTTTTTATATGCTCGGGTTTACTTTTCTGCCAATGAAGAAACAACGTCCTGAAACAAATGGCAGTTAGTTCCGTTATTCGATATTTCAGCTTGACGAATTACAACATGCAAATCATAATAATAAATTTGAACGATAAATTCAACTCACGGACGATCTTCTAAATTTTCAGCTGATTCATATTCGTCTTCGTCATCCCAAAATGCTCGCGATGACGGAAATACGACCTCTCCAAAGTGACTAACCATGTTCGAAAAGAGAGTTCTAAAGAAGAAGAATCAAGAGTAAATTGTGATTTTCTGTATCTCCGAAATCGCGTCAACTCTTTCTTACGACATAAAACACTTGTCAATACTTGATAAATTTGAACGAGTCAAAATGACGGTGCAGCGTGATACAAGAAAAGTTTGAGAACGACCGTGCCGCACGAGTTTCGTGTGATGTCAATGAATTGATACGCTCTCTGGTGTCGAAGAAGATATTCAGCAAGCGACGTGTTACCAACTGAAGACAGTAACGCATGCGTAAGAGTATCGGAAGAATGGGAGATGTCGCTGTGATGACAGGTGCTGTTCGTTTCAACTGCACTTTCTGCGTTGAAAATGAAATGAAAAAGAGGAAGAGACGGTGAAAGAACGAGCGAGAGAGGAAGAGACGAAAAAGTGCAGACGAGCGAAAGGCCCGTGGAGGATCGCACGTCGGATGACGGTAGTCAACGGACAGCGGTAACGAACGCGATGACGAGTTAGACGCCGTTTTCTCTTGGTCCTCCAGCCAGGTAGAGACCGAAAAGGGGAGCGCGTTGCGACACTTACGCGCCGCGCGCGGCGATGCGTTGCAACATTTCGCGCGGCCTGTCAAGGTGAACGCCTGCGAAAGGTCCGCGGCGAAATCTCTACCTCTCGCCACCCGATGTATCGTCTCGTTCGTTGAAGTGCTCCGTCGCTTCCTGGTGTGTTGGACGTTCTTGGCCGTCGAGCATGGAGGACTACAAGTTTCTCTTCAAGGTCGTGCTCGTGGGGAACGCCGGCGTCGGCAAGACCTGCCTGGTGCGACGATTCACTCAGGTGACGTTCTCGGACATTATTTCGAGATATAATAAGTTAAATCGAGGAGAAACGACGATGGTGGTCTTCATCGTCGTCGTCGTCGTCACTTCGTTGGCCTACTCGCGTGACGAACTCTTGCGCACCGTTTACGCGCGGTTGCGTTTCCCGGAAGGGTGGAAAGTTCGTTATTTATGCATCGTGCGGATGATGTCATCTACATATGTCGAGCGCAGTGCTCTGGAGTACTCCTCGCTATACTTTCTATTCCTTGTTGATTTTTTCCAAACGTACACACCTACACTCGACGTGTTTTTCCTTAAGCTTAGCTTCTATGCGACTTATTTCTCATATTGACATTAACTTCCAGTTTTGTCGCGAAATTTACAGGGTTTATTTCCACCTGGACAAGGTGCAACAATTGGAGTTGATTTTATGATTAAGACTGTTGAAGTAGAGAATGAAAAAGTCAAGGTATACAATTTGACATAAGTTAGTTACAAACTAAATACATATCTGCGATATATTGAATATATGTCTAATTTATTCATTGTTTCTTTTGTCAGTTGCAAATTTGGGATACTGCAGGTCAAGAAAGATTTCGTTCTATCACTCAAAGTTATTATAGATCAGCTCACGCATTGATATTAGTTTATGATATCTCTTGTCAACCCACATTCGATTGTTTGCCGGATTGGTTAAGGGAAATCGAAGAGTATGCGAGCAACAAGGTTCTTAGGATATTAGTAGGTGAGTAAGAAGAGATACAGAATAAATTTCAATTTGCAAACTTCAATTTCACGAAATTAAAGACGACTGCGAGTTTATACATTCTCTATTTTTATAAGAATTATATTTTTCTTAACATCAGGAAATAAAATTGATCGAGAGGATAGAGAAATACCAACACACGTAGGAGAAGATTTTGCACAAAGACACGGAATGTACTTTTTAGAAACGTCTGCAAAAGAAGCAGAGAATGTTGAGAGATTATTTATGGAAATAGCAGCTGAACTCATGGAGGTAAGCAAAGAGTTGCACCTTTCACTTGAAATCATTTTCTTCATCGGTATCACATGTCATTTTAGCAAGCTCGCAGTAAGGAGTTACCTCGATATGAAACGAACACAACTTCAATAAATGGCAAAACAACATCGATCGGTGATACTAGTAATTGTGGTTGTAGCCGACTCTCTTAAATAATTTTTGTATGTAACATTAAGCATTTTAGTGAGATATTTTTAGTTATATATATNATTTAAACATATTAATCATTAGCTTTTGTATAGAACACTTGATTTTTATAGATATGCAATTACAGCGCAATTTATACTCTATTATTACCAAATCTAAAGATTAATACCAAATTTTATTTACTCGAGACGCTGTTTAACCTTAAGTTATTTAAGTATCTGTTTCCATACGTGATGGTACTGCATTTCACGTAATTGTACAATATCTTTTGTTACTTCAAAAGTACAAATAGTCATTGTCAGGATGGATTTTGGTAATTTGTCCAAAGTCTTATTAATAACAATAGGATTTTTACAACACATTACAAGCCTACGATGTATAAAGTTACTTCTAATGTGCAATATTTACATGTGTTTATTGTGCTATTTTGAAAAGTGCAGCTCACTATATGCTCATAACAGCAATTTAAACTAAAGCATAGATGACATGTAACGCTATAACATACAATAATCGGTGAGAATCGTTTCTTATTTTAACGGGATTAATTTTGACAAAAGCTTACGCTATTCGCGGATGATCTGAACATTTAGACATATATTATTTGTTAATATAATAATCTAGGACAAGCGATATTGCAAGATATATAATATTATTATACATCTACTATAGCATTTATATGTGATCTAATTTTTGTTATATATTTACTTTATATATCTGTAATTATATATACGGTTTATAGGTTGATTATTAAGTATTCTATTTATATCTATCGTGCGTAATGTAATGGACAATTGTTTTTTTATTTATGTTTCTGTAAACTCTAAGATCTCTTCGTTAAGCTGCTAGTATTGTACTAATATTTTGGCACATTGCTCTAGTCTTCACATTTCTTTCGTTTGTTTTATGTATTTACATACTATATACAATATGCATATAATTGTTGACGATATGTATATTGTGTTATAAACTCTACTCGTGGCTGAAACTCTTATCTTACATTTAAGATATAGTTTGTGTATCACTATCGAGCGTATTACTTCGATCGTTGTTTCTTCTTTTATGAATTATGCACGAAATTTAACACGCTCCCTGCCGGACCGTTTTTATACGACTTTCAATTCACATGCGTATATCGCGTATATCGGAAAGCACAACGTGTATTCGTTGCGTGGAACTTTATAAGTGCGTTATAATTATTTAGTTTGTGTTTTTTGTGAATTGAAAAGTTATTTATTATAAAAGTGAGTATTCAAAGTATAAAATATACAGTAGAACAAAACAAATAAGCTTATTTCGAAACTGAAAAATTGAAGAATAACAAATAAGATTTTGTAGAATAAAACAGAATGCATTAAAGAAATTATAGCACAAATTATAAGACAAATAAAATTAATTTTGTTGAACATTTTATAATCGAATGTTACGATATATTTGATTGAAACAATTTGTACATAAATTTTGGTTTGTTTGGGGCAATCCTCAAACTAAAATGTTAGCCGTTTTATTTCACCTCTAACAGTTTTAATATCCAATTATCTGATATTTTTTTTAAAGCAAGAAGTCAACGTCTTAGTGTCGGTTTGTTTTGAAATCGGATCATAAGAAATGAAAATTCATTATTACGTTATATGTGTCGAAATCGGTTTATGACTTTAAAAGTATTGCAAACATGATAATAGAGTACGAATGGGTAGTAAGATAAATTAAATTTTATTGTACTTTGCCTTTTAATGACAATGCAAAATAACAATTAGCATGGAGATCGAATTCAGCGTATACCGAAAACGGTACACGTGGCAGGGAACGCGTTAAATAACAAACGTTCACGTTCTCTATAACGGACTATCAGTTGAAATTATTACATTTATAATTTTTATATATTTATTGTCATTGACATGAATTCACACACTATGTGTTTATACATACTTGATAAACTTCATTCTATTTTAAATATAATTAAATGTGTCTTACTTCACAATTATGATATCCGAGATTTTCCAAGATCTTTCAAATTGAGTTAAGTTTACATACTAACGGTTCGATTGAGAAAGTTACTCCAAAGAGATTTTATATAACAATGTTTTATTATATGATTACACAATATAAGTCGCTAACAACGCAAAATCGTAACTTGTAATAAAAACCATATTGGTTAAAACATATCAATTCTCTTTATATGGAAATACAGAATGTTATTATTATTATCATATTATGTCAAAGTTGGCGTCGTGGAGAAATATGTATAGATCTAATATAAGCCATTTCTCATGTAAAACACATTCTTACAACAATAACAAGTACATATTCATACTCAATGTAATGGAAAGTTACATTTTTTTCATCACAGATAGTTTACAACTAAAAGAAGCAAATTTTCTTAACCAAAAATAAATTTAACTAAAAATAAATTTAATAGAATATAACCGCAATATTGGGTTTTTTAAAATAATTACTATGTAATTTTACGTATGTTATATATATTGGAAAACGTACATATATATATTATATACATACATATATTATATATATTGGAAAAAATCATTTAATTGTGCTTGTTTCAAAGATAAATCAAACAATTGTTTTTGTATCTTAGACTCCAGTGCCATCGGAAGTACAGAGTGTTCCCTACAATTACTAATGTATAAACCACCTTTTATTCCAATGTCTTTATTTACTGCTGCATATACTATTGGAATAGCTCCTTGTTCAGGTGTCTACAACAAACATGTATTTATATAAATTCATTAATGATAATAATTCGGGTTAATCTAGGAATCTTAACACAACATATTGTTACCTTAAATGCAATCATCATCAGTTTAGTTTTGTTCCAAAAGGTGTTGCTGAATATACCCGTTTTCACGATGCCAGGATGTACAGAATACACTCGTACATTCAACGATCTGTCTACTAAAAGCTTTTGCAGTACGATCGTAAATATTACCTGTGCTAATTTACTTTGTGCATATGCTGCTTGCGTCACGAAGTAGTCCCTGATTTAATAAGATGTATTTATAGCAGGAAAAGCAACTACACATTAGTGTGTTAGTGACATCAGTCAGCGTATAAAAAAAAATAATTGTATTAAATTTCTTTCACATACTTGCAATTGATGTCGAAGTTTGCGCTTGCAAGCCTATAAGCGCAAGAAGTAACATTGATTATTCTACTACAGTCATCGAGTTGCCCAGCGTTTTTCAGTAACGGTAATAGAAGTGATGTCAATAAGAAGTGTGACAGATAATTTACAGCCCATTGTTCTTCAAATCCATTTTTAGTTTGTTGATACGGAGTAAACATAATACCGGCTGAAAGAAGACACTTTGTCATGCAAATTGCGCTCGGCATAATTAAAATAAATTTTCCCGCGGCTGACATACCATTGTTAATTAATATGTGAACTTTGTCATACTCCTTCTTTATTCTCTTCGCGAATTCTTTTACCGACTCGAGAGAAGAATTATCAAGCTCGTAGACTTTCGCTCGTCCATTGGTCACACCCGACTTCCTAATTTGAAGAACAGTCTTTTGGCCGGCAACGATCGTCCTGCAAGCTAATTATGCGACATTAGACAAAATAACGTGCAGTAAAATCCAAGGACGACAAGAGTATCGCATCGATGGGAAGATACCGATTATAACTTCCATGTCGCACTGTAAAAGTTTCTTGACGACCATAGCTCCTATTCCTCTGGAACCGCCAGTTACGATCGCAACTTTAGCCGGCATCAGAGTCAAATCTGAAAGGGAAGAATACCAGTTTTATGTTTAATGTCAATAATTCCAGGTAGACGTATCATCATTTTATTCGCCAGCGCATCATAAAGTAATAACGAGCGAGTGCGAATTCGAAAATTCGTAAAACAAACTCGCGTGTCTCTCTCTTTGTTTCTTACCGATCTTATTGCGTCTGACGTTCCACAGGTCGTCCATGACCGACAGTGTACCGAGGATGTGGTATTTGATCATGTAGAGCAAGGTTATACCAATGTAATGCCATTTCCTGCGAGGCACGCAATAGATGACGGCACCAAGAGTGCAAATCACGATCAGCTCGAATAACATGTCTCGCACGGTGGTGAAAAACTAAATGTGATTTCGGGGTGCAGGTAGACGACTGCACGTCCTAAAACCGGTTGACACTGTGGAGAATCAGAAATTGAAATCTTCTCGACGAGAAACGTTTACCGTTATACCTTCCCCTTCTATATCCGACGAACCGTTATATTGTTCAATAGGAGGTATATCTTTTTTTATGTGAAAGGAGGTTTTCTTTCCTCATCGTTCGTGACCGTTGAGGAAAATATTCAAAAAAACGTTTCATTCGTTTTCGAAAGTGCAGGCAGGATTGTGAAGTGTGGAAACCAGACGAAAGAAAAAATTCTATTAGTAATCTCGAACGTCAAACCGAGGAATGTATCTGGAAATTTGAAAAGAAAATACGGGAGTCCGATTACAAGTAGTTTATTCACTTTTAGCGATTCTTGCGTTTTAACGCGGCGAATGTGAATAACATGGGCGAATTTAACGCGAATAAACCGCGAAACAGGTGAAGAAGAAACAATTGGAAGAACAATTAGAGGGAATATAGCAAATAGAAAAAAAGTGAAGGAAGGAGAGAAAACGATGCCGTGCTCCAAAAGAAACAGATATTCATACTCAAAAGGAAGAAACTAACTTTGTTTGTTGTTAATATATTTTTGCAGTGTTCTGTTGTTCTTTATGTTGTTATTAAAAGCAATAACAGCTTATTATTTCTCTCTCTCTCTCTCTCTCTCCTTAATTTATCTATTGTGCATTAATTTATCTATTGTGCATTTTATCAACAGCTGACAATGTTTATCAGTCAACACAAGGATGTTTCCTCTTCATTCTAAAGGTAAAAATGAATGGAGCAACTTGTAATACATTTCAAGATAATTATTAATATCTGAATAGTAAAATAATGACTAACACCTCATCTAATTATGAATTATTTCGATTATCATGCAGTGTTTATTAGAAGTGACTCTCAATAATTTTGTCAAGGTTCGTTAATAATATATCGCAACGTATTTTCAAATATGTGCAGGAACGTTTAACGCGTTTCGGATTTTTCGTTCGCGCGCATTTTATTCTTGAATAACTCCATTATTTTTCCGAATTTTGTTGGAATATTTTATCGAAACGTTATTAAGATCTTATTTTACGAATATTTTATCGAAATATTATCAAGACTTACTAAAAGGCCTTGAGAAAAGGCAAGGAAAATAAAAAAAATCTCAAAGTTCCAATCCAGAAAATTCCCTTGAATAAATACTTAATAACGGTTAATAACGACCAATGATTAGCGAACAACAATTTTCAACGATGGCTGCAAATTTATATCTAGCAATTGTTACATACATGTCGAAAAAACGTTTTCCCGACACTGCGGCGTTTAATGCGCTCGTAACTTTTCAATAATGAAAGTAAACAAGATATGAGATGTAACAACTGCATAGTCAGCGCATGAGCATTATGTACTCCGTTATCAATGCTAAAACCTAGAATTTCAACGTTGGACATCACCATTAATGCGGTCCTAACAAGGCGGTTTTTTTTCAGCGATTAATCCTAGATGTAAAAGTTGTTTTGATAAATGTCAAAATTGAATGCACAACTTATTTCGATAAATATCAAAATTAATGAAGGATTTTAATATTACAGATAGAAATGAATCGTTATTCGCGTATTATTTATGTAATTCGTATCAGCTGCACAAACAGTACGAATAACAATAAATTATATAACTAAACTGCGTATTTATAGGAATATTTCAAATGTTTGTATACATAAAAAATAATTGTCAAAACTCTGTGATTATCTTCCTTGGTCCTCTCGCTTGATACACCATCTGGATAGAAGGATGGAACTATGAGTCAAAGTAGAAACGTAGACATAGTTTAAAAAAATAGCATTTCATGTGGCAAAAACATTTACGCACGAGTCGCCACAATCGCCTAGTGACGTGCCATCTAAGAGTAACCTACATAAAATGTCGCGGATGACATCTACAGACGGAAATTGCAATCGCAAAAACGAGACTCAGCCAATGTTGCCAATGAGGTTTCTCGATTATTCCGGCTTGTAGCTTGTTACACGTAGGTCTAACACGTAGATGTATCGAATAGGTGAACCTGTACGATTGTTTATTGCTGACGTATAAAATTGCTGTACTAGCCAGTGAAATATTTCTACCTTAAGGTTTCGTCGTGTGAGAAACGAGTAACACGTAAGTGAATTAACCTTTAACCGCTTTTAACAACATACGCGGATATATTTCGTGTTTCGCGTGTCATCAAATGATAATGTAATTCACGTTTTGTCGTATAATTTTCTCATCACGTTACGTGCATGATGACCGCAAAAAAAAAAAGAAAGGAGGAGGAAGTCCAGTTGTACGTGTCATTTTTCGTTGACGTCGCAATACGATCGGGTTTTCGCGCGGTCTTTCTGACTTTTGCTTATAGTGGAAGTGCTAGTCTCTCTTGATTCGTGCGATTCTCTTCATCAAAATGAATAAGTGACGTTTCCGAAGAAAGTGCCTGTTGCTTTCACTTTAGAAACAAGTGATGTAATCACCGATTCTCCTTGAGGCGGCCCTCCTATATTTATCTTGCGTATTTATTAACATACTAGTTATGCAAATTTTTCCCAAGTTTTTGCAAGTATCCAGTTGAGAATTAATGTTCATAACAAGTGTCAAAAAAATAAAATCTTGTCAAAAACCTTGACTGACATAAATGTAGCGACATAACTATAATGTTCCTTTTATATTGTTGGCTCTGCTTTTTAACTTCAGGATGGCAGACAACACTAGTGAGTCGTCACCACAATTGGAAAAGGGATGGTCAGGATTGAAGCAGCACATTACGGAGAATAAAATTAATTTTGGGTTATGGCTTACGAGATGTTTCACTATCATATTCACCATTGGTTATATCATTCCTATATTTGGGTATATATATTTATTAATTTTGTAATTAGATTGATATATATGTAAATATGTAAAAGTAACTTAACAATAATTAACATGTTTATTATTTCAGCAATCCTTTTAATATATATTACAAAATATTGATGAATAATGCAGCAACGAGCGCATTGCGACTTCACCAAAGAGTGCCCCGTGTACAGATCACTAGGCAATTTTTAGAAATGTTATTATTGGAAGATTCGTGCCACTATTTGTTCTACTCGCTGATATTTTTGTATACAGCGCCGGCTACATGTATCCTTTCAAGGTTTCAGTACTTATTTCAAAATTCAAAATTGGTTTTATGTTTATATTTTGTTTAAATGATTTAATTTTAAAGCAGTCCTAAATAACAGAAAAATGGGAGTATAACATATTTAATCCTGAACAATACATAGTGGTACTCACGCCAGTTTTCCTGTTCGCTCTGTTACACATGGCCAGTTATTCTCTTGCATTACTAGACGTAAGTAAATTAGTAAGGAAACCAATTATGTACATATATATATATATACAATGACACATTAAGTATATTTGCAAAGTCATTGCAAAGTCATAAATTGTTTTGTTTTTTGCTACATATAGTGTCTAGGACAGAACAGTTGGTGGGGCGCTCGTCTTGCGATATCCTTGGTAGAATTCCAATCGCGAAAAATTCTCCGTCTGTGCGCTCTTTCGGAGATTATTATCTTGCCATTTACAGTTTTCCTAGTATTCACGTACGTATCATGTAGGTCAGTTAGAGAAATGGATGAATGAGGATGTGACAATTTAGTATATAGTAGATATACAAATTGATGTAGAGGTCTTTTTATACGGTCAATTTATACAACTCAAGCATTTAATATAAACTTGTGCTAACATAGAAGTACTTTGATATCTTTTTGTGTTTTTAATCGTTACGTTAAATCGTTACCTGCATTGCACGATACTGGTATATTAAAATATGCTAAATGATTTTTTCCTCTTTCAGGAGTCGCGCTGGTTTATTAACACCATTCATCTACTACCAGTTCTTGAAGCTGCGTCTTTCATCTCAAAGGAATCCATACACGCGTAATGTATTCTACGAGCTCAGAAACGGATTGAGCAGCGTATCGAAAAAGCCGGCGGTTCCTGATATCGTACGAAGAATGATCGACGGCCTGCTTTCGCTCACTCAACAAATGGCACCGGTCCGCCAATAATAACTACTTGAGATACTATCCTCGAATTTTTTCTCATATTGTTCAAGACAGATCTCCTAGGGTTCTAGGGTCCACTCTCAGCGACACACTTTCGTGAATAGCTAGCGCAAGATGAGTGCCGACATCAAAAAGATCCCCCATAGTAAATATGTATTATGAAATGATTTCCGATATCGTATATGAAAAGGATCAAAGCGTAAAGGGTTTCTTACATTAATAATTAAACTTTTTTCATTACTGAATGTCGAGTAAATATGTAAGTGTGTTTCAAACTAATTATTATCAAGTAGAATTCACCCACTTAATCGAAGATTTACACAAACTGGTGACTAGGTTTTGTTGTTTGTATTTTATATTTTTCAGAATAATAAGATCGCGAACAAAATAATTATGCACACGTATTAACCACATGGTTTCAAACGTAATGTGAATTTAAACCATGAATTTGTAATAAATAGGTAATGGTAGAGTTTGTAATATAGATAGATCTTGTATGTGTTGATTCCTTTGACTAGCTAACTTGTTTCATTTCGTCTGGCTTTATGATATTTAAGCATAAAATATCTATTATATAAATTAAAAGAATAGACTTCGGAAATAATTTACATTATTTCTGAATATTGAAACGACAAATTCGTCATCTCTTTGAAACAAGCTCAATTTGTATATGTATTATATTTGTTTCGTCAATTCTCCTAGTATAGATCTGTAAATTCTATTTTCTCTCTCTGGTATTTAACATTTACCACGTTTAACACTTTGCTATATTTGATTGATACATAGTTTATCACAAAGGTCCCGGCTCTCGTCTATGGGTGACGGTTTTTAATTATTAAATTGTTATCAATTAAGAACAATTTTATCAATGTTTACATACGGATATTTTTAATGGAAAAAATAAAATGTTCATATAACGTATTGGATGTGTTAAGAACAAAATTATTCAAGGTTACATTTATTTTATATACATTAGGAAGTAGTAATCCGAGTAATATATCGGATGCTTTTGGATGAAAAGATTTCGGTTTCATATTTTACATCGGAGAAATGTTAAGATTAGAGATATCAGGTATGAAATATCACTTAATAGTAAAAGTGTGAGTTCAATCTTTTCATTAATATGGGGTCGATGTGGTTTGCTTCAAGCAATCTGACTCGACGAACTTTACGTACGATTGCACACGGCTGCCAGAGAATTTAGGTTTGGTGGTGTTTGCGCTCGAATTCAGAAGTGGCGGTCAAAGTGTTAAATGTATCTCGGAGTGACTTTGTAAATGAAAAGAACTATCAACATACTGGTGTAACAAGTAATCTTAAGATGTGCTCGATAAATCTTTATAAATAAAATATGAAAATTTATAACATATACACATTTAAAAATTACCTAGTACTTCTCCTCTTTCCCAGCAGTTGAAACGTTATTTTTGATGATACATTATAATAAAGTAGCGGTACAAAGATCTGGTTTTCTGTATTTATTTATTATTCAAATGTCATTACACAGCGAGAGGGGTAGGTTGAGGCATATCTTTCGACGGCTTCACCTCGGAATTCGGCTGCATTGGAGGAATCTCATCCTTAGGTTCAGCGATAGACACATAGTCGGGAAGAGGCTTCTTCGGACCGGTCTTGCCGACGGGATCCCACGGAAGCATTATTTTCACTTTGATTCCGAGTACGCCTGAAATTGTGAATGCCAAGTTTTGATCATGTAACATTTATATATATTCATACATATAAACATATTATTAGTATAATATAACAATGCGTTGTATCATTTTGCTCTTACATGGTATATTAGCGGCATAATTATTTGTATGAAAGGAAAAAAGAACTTTTTCCTGTATACTTAATGAAATAAATAATGATGAAGTAATAATTACAGAGAGAGGATTGTACCTTGCCGTAATAATACATGACGAGTCGCAGTGTTCACGTATTCATTGGTCGGTTCACCGGAATGGATCATCAGACCATCCACGAATTTCATCGACTTCGCTCTCTGACCACGTAATTTGCCGCTCACAACTACTTCGCAGCCTTTGGCGCCTGATTCCATGATAAAACGAAGAACTCCGTAACACGCCCTGATCGAAACGAAGAAAATTGTGAATCACACAACAACGATTAGTGCGAAAAATACAGAGGGAATTAAATACTAATTTACCTTCGTACAGCCAGACCTCCAATGAGCTTATACCGAAGCGACTCTGCCTGTGCAATGGCGCATAATCCACGGACGGCGACCTTTTCCGCATACAGCTCGACATTCTGCGGTTCTTTGAAGTTAAAACGCTTTTGTACCACAGATGTCAATTCCCTGATTCTGCGTCCCTTCTCACCGAGCACGCTTTGCGTATGCGTGGCCAACAATATGATTTCTGTCCGGTTTGGCGTCACACGGACTTCCACGCCAGAGTAGCCATCCTCGGCGAGCTCACGAGTCAAGAACTCGTTGAGTTCGGCCCTGAAAACACCATCACCCACGAACTGCAAACGAAGAGAGGAAATAAATACATGTGAAACCGAGTCTACCCGTTTCTCTCTTTACTTTGAGGTTAAAATAACCTCAAAGTATCCGCTAATATAAACACAAACACAGTGGAAAATGATACGTTTTGCGACACTTGGGAAAATTGAAGAATACGACGAATAGGCGAAAGTTTACGAAATTTCGCGCACCGAAAATAACGATGAATAAACGCGACACGTGGAATCATAAGACCAACGTATAGACAACGTTGAAAGCATCCATGTCATCCACGAACCTAGTCTAATGCATTTATTTAATTTTCCACGAAATATCTTTCCGACGACTTTCAGCGTTGCCGCAACGAGCATATTTTCACGTATCGTTTATTATAAATTATTGAAAATTACAGACCTTCCTTTTCTTCGAAATCGAGCGGTTCTCCATGTTTCACAGTGAAGCATAAAAGGAGCCGAGAAACCGAAAGATTTGACTCGACCCGAGACGGAAGCGTCGTACAGTACTTATTAAGACTCGTACACACGGAATGTTTATATCACTTCTGCCTGTAGGTGGAGCAACGCTATAACCGATAAGCAGACAGTTGATTGGCTATCTATGATCGTAGTAAAGAAATCTTTGCTCTGTTTGTTCTGATTGGTCAATCAAATGCTACTCTGCCCATCGACTGCGGTTTTGTAATGCAGCTAAGACCTGACTATAAATACCGTCCTATATGAATATTTCCACATTATCCGCAAACAGTTTACATTTTCGACATTACAGTTAGCAACATTTGTATTTTTTAGAAAGAAATTTTCTTTCATTGGCTATTTGATGGAATTCGGTGTGAATCTGTGATAAACTCGTTTTTTTTAGTTACAGTGGAGACCAAAATAATTTGGACGCAGCTAAGTTCAGAGTGTAACTGATAGTCCAATGAGAGAACGAATCAGTCAAAAATAAGTTCTCTCGTTGGATCATCAGCTGCGATCTGAACTTGGCTGCGTCCAAACCGTTTTGCATTCCACTGTACACCGTATCACACTTTTTGCGGAATAAGTAACCTAAAACACACAATTTGAATGATTATTTTAATTCGATAAATATATGCAAATTAGACAAAACAATATATAAAAATGGCAGGAGGAAAAAATGCTCAAGCTGGATTTCAACCGGTAATACAGCAATATAGAAAATACTAGAAATCTAACATAATATAGTTCTATATTTATATTCTAATTTATTTCATATATTCCATAGGATTCCGATGTTCATATTACGTATGAAGATCAACAGAAGATTAATAAATTTGCAAGGCAAAATGCTAAATTGGAAGATTATAAAGAAGAACTCAAAATCAAGCAGGTATCGCAGTTGTTTCGATTGAATGCATGCATGCTCATTAATTTAGCTTGCTCTGTCTCTTTAACCATATATGGTCATGTGAAAATTGTCACATATATATATATAAATGACAGTTATAATTTTGCAATTTACAGAATGAATTGAAAAATTTGGAAGATGCTGCAGATGAATTAGCTCTTATGGATGATGATGTGACAATACCATATTACATAGGAGAAGTATTTGTTCATCAGGATCTCGAAAAGACACAGGTAACAAAATAGCATTAAGAAAAATGATAATTGTTGTTGACATAATATATATATATATATTGCAAATATTCATTACTTCTATAATAAAAGTAAAAATATAATTTAAATCCATATGATGTCATTCTTTTCTACACTTGTATCTTTAATTACCGTCAGTTATCAGCATTAGATATTTTATTCTTAGAACCATTTGGATGATGCTAAGGAGAAGAAAAAAGCAGAAATTGCAGGTTTGGAAAATAAATGCACAGATTTGAAGACTATTATGACAGAATTGAAAACACAATTGTATGCAAAATTTGGTAGTCGTATAAATTTGGAAGCAGAAGAAGATTAACCTTTTCAATGCATGATACATTTATTTCTATTATATTTAATATAATAT